AAGACCCACAGCTCCAAAGAGACTTCCAGCGTGTCCCCTTGACAGCCTTGCATGACACCACACACTCACCGTGGGCCCCTGGTTGTCTCCCTGACGTGGTTGTTCAGGTGGAGGTTATCGCGGATAATTTGCTGGGCCTTCAGGTTCGTGCGAGTCAGGTAACAGGACAGCTGATCTTCTGGCTGGAACAAGCCAAAGCTCAGCCTAAGTTAATCTGGTCACCACACTGTATCCTTACTAAATAACTCTGATATCTCCACGACCTTTCCCATGATGGGTGGCTCTCACTTCTGGGATCAGCAGGGCTGTCAAACCCACTGTACAGACCAAACGCGAGCGATCTGAGAGCCTGAGCAACATGCCCAAAACCAGACTGAGAACAGGATGGAATCTGGGAATCTGGAATTCAAGTTGTATCCTACATGCCGTATTCCTAATTACAGGATGGATATTCCCATTTAAATCAACATGTTACATCACAGCATTCAAAGTAATCACAGGGGAAAAAAAGCTCTGGAGTTAGAAGCGTAAGTGCTGACCTTACAGCAAACAACTAATTAATGGGTTTGGTGAATTAAAAAAAATTATCTAGGAGAGATAAAAACCTCAAAACTCTGCAATCAACATGAAAAATTCAAAGTTTGGGAAAAACCTCACCATGTGAAGTAAAGTATTCCATTGATTTTTCTGAAAAAGAGTCATTAGACTCACATTCAAAATAGTGATAATGTAGCACCATAACTCTTTAAAACTGCCACTGAGTGACATATTAGTTAGCCAAAAGTCTTGTGATTTTAAGTGGCTTTGATTTAAATCTGTGTTGGCTGAGTGTCAGTACAAAACCCTGAGAAATCATCTTGCTGCAGTTGCAGAAAGAAACTACATGGACCCATAACCCTTATAGACCCTAATCAACTGCTGAAGATCAAAATTTAATAAAGAATTGGTTAATGGTTATCATATAATTTGAGATGAATTACATGCCATAGAGCAAGTAAGCTACCTTCAAAAAATTAAGAGTCAAAAGCCTGTACACCCCAGAAAACTTCATCAACAGTAACCAGAACTGCAAATTTAATAAAGTACTGTTTAGCTGGATAAAACCTGGGTTATCCATAAAAAAAAAAGATAGATGAGATGTTCTGGAAGTAACAAAAGAAACAGAACACCTATTCCATGATGCAATAAATTGGGCAAGAACGCTACCTTCAAAAAGTTAAGAGTCAAAAGCCTGTACACCCAGAAAACTTCATCAATAGTAACCAGAACTGCAAATTTAATAAAGTACTGTTTAGCTGGATAAAACCTGGGTTATCCATAAAAAAAAAAGATAGATGAGATGTTCTGGAAGTAACAAAAGAAACAGAACACCTATTCCATGATGCAATAAATTGGGCAGACTTCTGGCAGCATCTATAAAAAATCCTGCATGTTATATAAATGTCTGACAATTATTGTTTCTTTCAACACGTTTATGGAGAATAAATTCCAGATATGTTCTCAATTATTACTCAAAAGTGTTATTAGGAAAGTTTGTCTAACAGCTTTTTGCTGTTAGATTTAAAACTTAAAAAAAGACAGATGAGATGTTCTGGTAGTAACAAAAGAAACAGAACACCTATTCCATGATGCAGTAAATTGTGCAGACTTCTGGGAGCATCTATAAAAAATTCTGCATATTATAGCATATATAAATGTCTGATAATTATTGTTTCTTTCAACACGTCTGTGGAGAATAAATTCCCGATATGTTCTCAATTATTACTCAAAATTGTTATTAGGAAAGTTTGTCTAACAGCTTTTTGCTGTTAGATTTAAAACTCTTTGTTTGAAAACCTCTCCTACATATACCAAGGCCTTCAAGTGATACTACTTTTGCCCCATCCTGACTATAAAAGGTTATTTCAATTCCTATATCCTCTGGGGCAAATTGCCTCCTGATTAACAGCACTTACTCTGTGCTGTTTAAGTACATTATATAAAAACAGCCAATGTTCCAAGATTTTCTCCAGAAAATTGAACTTCTTCTGCTTTTAAGTTACTGTTCATCTGCCACCTCTCAGGTCTGTAGATAAATCCATCCTTTCTCTTTCCTAGTCAATACTACAAATGATCTCTAATTTCAACATCTTAACCTTACAAAGCCAGACACTGTGAATCTCCACAATACAGGCATAATACTGGAAGATTTTGTAAAACCAGCCATGCAACCAGCACATGAAGAATACTAGCAGCAGTATCACATTTCACAAAACTCTGACTCCACAAGTAAACAAAGTTCAGTTCTCAAGTTGAGAAGTGAGACTAAAAGGGTATTTACTTTCAAACGAACACAAGTAACTTCTGCCTCACACTAAGAGTCCTCAAAAACATAACACCTCCAGTACCAATACATCCCAGCTGCCTTTCCCAGCCACTAACTCCCTGGCTGATGATGAGCACGACATTCCCAGAACCACTTCCCACCCGGCTCTGTGTGCATCTGATGGGTGGGATTTGCTCTCCCACCTTGATCCACACGGCCTCGCTGAGGAAGCTGAATGGCACTGGAGGGTTGTCAGCTGCACGTTCCTCCAGACCACTGAAGTCAATCGTATCCTTGGCAAGTCGGGGCGGTGTCCCAGTCTTCAGCCTGCCCACAGCAAATCCCAGTTTCTCCAGAGTGTGAGCCAGCCCGATGGCTGGCTGGTCCCCCAGCCGCCCCGCTGGGTGCATCTCCAGGCCGATGTGGATCATACCCCTCAGAAACGTGCCGGTGGTCAGGATAACACTCCCAGCACGCACTGTGCTCCCATCCCCTGGAACAGCAAGTTTTCAGAGATGTTCACATTTTAGTAGCAACAAAGCCTCAGAATTCTGGTGTTTCTGTCTAAAAGTAAAATACCAGTGTTCACTGGGGGTTTATCTGTCTTCTATTATAAAATAACACCAGGTTCTCCATAATAAAAGCATCAACAGTAATAACTACAATAAGCAACATGTAGTTATTTCTGTGTATTTATTATTCCTAAGCAAGTTACCCCTGAGAAAAATCTATATACAGGCCTTTATTTCAGAAACCTTATTTATTATAACAGCGAAGGGTAATGAAGTACAAGCCTGTTATTAAGAGGACCCCACAGTCCTGTAACACTGAGGGCAGTATATACCATTTACCAAATAAAACCTCAAAACACAGCATGGAATTTAGTATCACCAGCCTGAAGAAAATTAATGTAGTTAATGTCCTAAAAAAGAAAACCACTCCTGAGAAAAATCTACATCCAGGCCTTTACTTCAGAAACCTTGTTTATTGTAACAGCAAGGGGTAATGAAGTACAAGGCTGTTATTAAGAGGACCCCACGGTCCTGTAACACTAAGGGCAGTATATGCTATTTACCAAATAAAACCTCAAAACACAGCATGGAATTTAGTATCACCAGCCTGAAGAAAATTAATGTAGTTAATGTCCCAGTATACTACCAATCCAGGTATTTTTGACATTGTATTACTTTATATTATACATATTAACCTGGTTTATTTCACACTTACCTGAACTAGCTCCATTAGCTAATTAATCTTTCTCATTAATGAATTAAAATAGGATAAATTAATCTTTCTCATCCGTGAATCAGAAATATTTGTCCCAAAGGCTTGCTCTTAGTGTGGAGTAACTGGAGGCACTTCGTGAGTTACTAGCACATACCCAGAACAACTCCTGCGACTTGGCATTTCCCAGGACAGCCTGGTTCTGGCTCTGTCAAGAGAAGATCCTCCACAGATGCCTCACGAACTGTCAACAGTGGTGTGTTAAGGATTTCTTTCTGTCACGAAAGGAGTTACTGCAAAAATCTGGGAAGTTATGAGACATATGGGCAATCCCAAACCCTGCTGATTCATCTTTCTCATCGGTGAATCAGAAATATTTGCCCCAAAAGCTTGCTCTTGGTGTGGAGGCACTTAGTGAGTTACTAGCACATACCCAGAACAACTCCTGCGACTTGGCATTTCCCAGGACAGCCTGGTTCTGGCTCTGTCAAGAGAAGATCCTCCACAGATGCCTCACGAACTGTCAACAGTGGTGTGTTAAGGATTTCTTTCTGTCACGAAAGGAGTTACTGCAAAAATCTGGGAAGTTATGAGACATATGGGCAATCCCAAACCCTGCTGATTTCTGAAACATCTATTACCCACTTCCATTCTTACCAGGTCACTTGGCAGGCACTCAGTTATGGTACTATCCTGATTTATCAGGTAGAAGTTTTCACTCACATAACGTTTGAGCTCAAGTAAACTAACTGGTCATAGAGCCTGACCTGTATCTAAAACACTAGAGAATTTTTCAAACTGTGCTAAGCTCCAACAACTCACACGGCATCAAAGTACCAAACAGAAAGGTATCTAGGTTTGATCGGTAAATAATGAAACCCAAAACATAGCCCCTTCCTTCGTAATCCTCAGTCGCGTATCCCCCTCCCAGGCCGCAGGAGCCGGCCCTCACCTGCATGTTCTCCTTGTAGAGGCCGCGGTCGATCTGCGCGCGGAGGCCCCACACGGCCGGGCCCTTGCAGCGGTTCAGCACCTTGTAGTGCACGCCCGAGCGGTCGCACACGCGGCCGCACAGCCCGTCCAGGGCGTCCACCTCCCGCATCAGGTGCCCCTTCCCGATGCCGCCGAAGGACGGGTTGCAGGACATTTCCCCTGGGTAATGACACAGGGACACCATCGGCACCGCGCAAAGGCTCCCGCGACCGCCCCTGCTCAGCGCCGCTCCCCACGCCGCGCAGACCCGAGGCGCCCTCGGTAGCCTCCCCCACCCAGCCGGGGACCCGCGGCGGTACCGATGGTGCCGATCCTGTGCGTGAGCAGCAGCGTGCAGGCCCCGCCGCGAGCGGCCGCCGCCGCCGCCTCCGTGCCCGCATGGCCCCCGCCGATCACCACCACCTCGTAGCGCGGCGCTGCCGCCGCCCCGACTTCGCCGCCCGCCCGGCGGTGCCCGGGGCGGCGGGCCGAGCGCCTCCCCGCGGCCGCCCGGCCCGGCGCCCCGTGCGGCTGGAGAAGCCGGACGCTGCCGGTGCTCACGTGTCCTCGCCCCGCGGGCGGGCGGGCGGGACCGCCCGGGCGGGAAAACGCTCCCCGCGGATTGGAGGGAGGCCGCAGCTTGGTCGCTGCTCCCGGAGCTATCCTGTGCCCTTGCTGGAGTTGGCGGCACCGGGCAGAGCCTCCCTCCCGCCCCGCTCGCCGGGTTTCGTTTCCTAGGGTTGGCGCGCTTCCTGGAAGAGGAACTCGCCTGAAGCCAGAGGCGGGAACCCCGCTGCTCGCGGGGCCGCGCTCGCCGTGTTGCGGGCGCGGAGAGGGAGCAGCGGCCATGGACACGGCGGGCGGCAGAGGGGCGCGGCCCCGGCGGGGGACGCGTTCCGCAGCTCCGCGGAGCCGGGGCAAGGAGAAGGGCGCAGCCCGAAGTCCCTCGCGGGGTCGCGTCGCGGGTGAAGGCTCGAGCGCCATCGGGACCCTCCGGGCACCGCGGACGGACGGAGCCCCTGCCCGGGGCGGCCGCTCGGCGCGGCGAGCCCCCGCTGCCCGGGAGCTGCCGGCGGGCACGGCTGCTGCCGCCGCCCGTCGTCCCCCGCCGGCGTCGGACGCCTTGCGGCTCCGGGAGGTGCTGTCGCGGCTCAGCCTGCCCCGCGAAGACGTGTCCGAGGCTTCGAAACTGGTGAACAAGGTGGTCTCGCACCTGGTCCAGGCCATCCGCGGCAAGGACAGCTGCTTCAGCTCCATCGAGCAGTACAGCGCCGGCAGCTACTACGAGCGTGTCAAGGTGGGTGCCGGGCGGGAACGCGGGCCGGCCGCTCCTAGCTGGCCTTTCCCGCCCAGTCACGGCCCTGTGGATGTAAGCACATCTCTAAGGATGGCTCTGTGAAGTTACCACAGCGCATTATAAAATGATCAGTAACCTGCAGAATGGTTACGTGCATTGAGTCAGAGACGCTGCCTGAACGGGACGCGTTCAGGCTGCTTGCAGCAAGCCTGCCCCCGCACAGCACGCAGGTGAGCCCGGTGTAACATCGAGATCAGTCAGGTATAGCACTGGGCCAGGTTTTAGTTCGTAGTTTTTTCAAAAAGCAGGAGTTACGGATGCAAATTGAAAGAAGAAAAATTTCGATTAGATATTAGAATTTTTTTACTGAGGGTGAGGGGGGGTGCTGGGACAGTGGTACAGAGTGCCTGAGGAGATTGTGGATGCTCCAAACCTGGCAGTGAAGGCCAGGTTGGATAAGGCCCTGAGCAACCTGGTCTAGTGGAAGGTATCCCTGCCCAGGGCAGGGTGGGTCAGGACTAGCTTTATCTCTGAGGTCCGTTCCAACCCTTTCACCTTCTGTGACTAACCAGTACCTTTTTTCCTTGTTCCAGTAGACTGAAACCAAGTTAAACATGGGGACACTTTTTTTTCCTATCAAAAGCTAGTTTCAGATCTAGCGTGCATTTTTTCCTCACATCCTAAGTGCAAGAGGATGTCTGAGTATATTTATGCATTAATTATTCAGAACAGCTCCAGAATCTTAAAACTATCTTACAAAATTAATAAGTTGGAGAGCTGAAAAGTGAGCTGCAAATTGCTATTTTCCACCCGAATGCACAGTAATCTTGCAGTACCATAGAAATAAGCTCATATTTCACATCAGACATGATTAGTATGCTAAGGTAGATGAAACCACAACTGGTAAAAAAATCTCAGGAGAATAAAACCTAAATTGCACATTGACTGTTGTATTCTTATTTTGCAGATATCTGAACCAAATGAGTTTGATATCATGCTTGTAATGCCTGTTACAAGGATTCAGCTGGATGAGTCTGATGACACTGGAGCCTATTATTATGTGTCATTCAAAAGAAGTCCAAAAGAAAAGGGTTGGCTGAAGTTTTTAGAGGAAGATGGAACATTATCAGCCTTTAAAATGCTTCAAGCATTAAGAGACATTATTAAACAGGAAGTAAAGAACATTAAAGGTTGGTACTGAGAGAATAAGCTTTATCAGGAAGTGGTAAAAACCCAGTCATATTGTGCATATGTATTGCCCCAGTGTTAAGAAGATACATTTTCCTGCCAGTCCTCTGTCTCTTTGTGCCTAGGAAGTGGTAAAAACACAGTCATATTGTATTGCCCCAGTGTTAAGAAGATACATTTTCGTGCCAGTCCTCTGTCTCTTTGTGCCAATGGAGCTGTAACCACTCCTGTCCTCAGTATCTCAAGCTGGCTCTTGTGTTAAGAATCACAAATACACATAGGTAACTTGTTACATTATTAACTCCACTATGCATATTTTCTGTATGAAAATAATAAACATTAAGGGTTCTGTTGCATGCTTGCTATTTCCTACATGACCTACACATCTTGTGTCTATCTGGAGCATACAAAGAGCCATTTGCTGAAGTGGTAGAAAAACACAGAGCTTTCTTTTATACAGTACCTAATATTTTTTATTGATCAGAAACTGCATCCCAGTTATTTTTATAATTATTTAAAAAATATGTATGTAATGTAATTATATTAAAGTGACCTCAGTTAGGTTTATTTTTTCCCAGAGCCTTCAGAAACATTGTGGCCAGATCTCTTCACTGTGTGTTTTCAACAGGGAAGCAGTTCAATGAAAAACATTATTATATTTTTAATTCTTAGACAGTAAATCAAGCAAACACAGTAGTGTTCCCTGTTTCATAGAACTCTTCAACAGACCTTCTCACTGTTTCAACATCCTGTAGGATAAAGAGCCATTGACTGAACCCAGGTATTTCTTTTGATTGCTTATGAACTCTTTAGTAACAACTGTAACATTCTTTAAAAAAAAGTTTTCATCTTACTAATCTATCTAGCTCTCTCTCTAACATGAAATATCACTTTCTTTGTTACTAGATGTGGAAGTCACTGTGGCAAGGAAAAAGGCTGGAAGCCCTGCAATAACTCTTCAGATCAAAAATCCTCCATCAGAAATATCAGTGGACATCATCTTGACTTTGGAGGCTCAGCAGAGCTGGCCCCACAGCACACAGGCTGGCCTCAAAATTGAACAGTGGCTGGGAACAAAAAAGAGGAGGGATTTCAGATTTACATCAATTTATTTAGTAGCCAAGCAAAACAAAAGAGAAAAAGTTCTAAGAGGTACCACAAATATGGATAATAATAAGTTATGAATTATCTTCTCTCAACTTGATCACTTACAAGTGCTATAGAAAGGGTATCCAGATCTTATTCAGTCTTCGATGCACCTCATCCTGGATACATTCAGCTCAGACAACTGAAATCCCACTTTAAAGCATCAGATTTGTGGTACTGCTTGTCCTGTACCGAATTGTAAATACAAACCCACTCTGCCAGGCTGTACACTAACCATTACTAAAGAGCATTACATTAAATCCACTCCAGCCAGACACATGGATGTGAGCCTTGCCTTGTGCTAGCACTGTGCTTAACAGCAGCTTGCACTCTCTCTTGTAAGGAAATTAGAAGAAAGTTGCTAAAAATGCAGGGAACTTCCCCATACATGAGACTGCATCCACAAATCAGACACTTCTGCAGGAAGCAAACTGTTTTCTATCAAGATACATTATTTCTCACTGAACTCTGGTATGGCTACAACATTTTTTCCTCCAGACCACTGTCACATTGAGTCTCCTTTAGTTTGCAGAAACATTCTGACTTGTCAGTGCATTATGGTAACTGATCTTTTCAGCAATAAGATTTCAAGCATTCTGGTACCTTTTTAATTAGCATTACCATGTTATCAAAGCCCAGTACAGAAGTACTGATTTATTAGGCAATGTCTTCCTGTGCAGATTAAATGCAAAGAGTAACTGAGCCAAACAGGCAAGGAAAACAGTAATTCATGAAAAGAAGACAAAAGTGATTGCCAGTATTAGAAACAGTGCATTGAGGTATATCAGCAATTATTTTCAGAAGCATGAATAGAAGAAAAAAAAGAAATGCTTTAGAACAGTCATCTTACAAGAGTAACTCACAGACCTATTACTTGCACAAAGAAAATTTCTGTTCTCTTACTGTGTTTTCTGGGTTAAAAGGCTGTAGATTTCTATGAATAATGCAGTTCTCTAAATCATGTTCAGCAAATCTAGGGACATTCAGAACTGAGCCTAATTTTAAAGTAAATCCAAACATCCTTAGGAATTTTAAGCATCCAAACAATTATGTCCTATATTAATTACATTCGAATCGTCTTAGTGAAGCAGCTGGGCAGTTGAGGAGGAACTAGCTGCACTCACTGAATTATTATTTTTATTGGCTGCCAAAAAATTGCAGGTCTTTAAGTCAATTACAAAACTGGGGCTTTTTTTTAGTTACAAAAGCTGATGCTTAGTGCTGTGTAACCAATTAACAGTCTTGTGCTTGACTAATTGTCTTAGTGAAGAAGCTGGGGAGTTAAGGAGGAACTAACTGCACTCACTGAATTATTATTTTTATTGGCTGCCAAAATTTGCAGGTCTTTAAGTCAATTACAAATTTATTTTTTTTTCTAGTTACAAAAGCTGATGCTTAGTGCTGTGTAACCAATTAACAGTCTTGTGCTTGACTTCAGGGAACACCTGGCGACTCTCCTTCTCACATATTGAAAAGGACATGATAAAAAACCATGGCAACTCAAAGACATGCTGTGAATCCAATGGATCAAAGTGCTGTAGGTTGGTATTTCACAGGAATATTTTACTTTAAGTCTGTGTGAGCTGAGCCAGCACTAACACTGTTTCAGTTTAGCACTTAAGAATTTGATCTGACAGTATTTACTCATAGGGAAGCAACAGTAATTCTTTTAGGCATAATTGTTTTACAGTACTGCAACACTGCATGCTGAAATCCTGACTTGCATTTATCTAATGAAAGGTGGAAAAAAATCACATTGCTGGTTTCCACCCCATACTTGCCTTAGAATGCAAATAGCTGCGACTTGTTCAATTCTCCAAATTCAGTCCTGTTTAGAAGAAAAAGCTTTAAAGGGGACTGATTCCACTTTCTGAGCAAAATTGCACTTTGTATCAAAGCAATTTCTAAAATGATGGTGAGAAAACTGCTGAATGATGAAGATGAATAAATGATTTTTCACTTTTATGAGAACTGTTTTCCAGATTTCTTCGACAAGGAAGAACAAAACGCACAACTAAACAACTAAAGCAAGAAGTTAGTTTGCCAATTATATCTTGTACTGAATCAAGAAAGCAACAAGAGAATTAATGCATAATTGTGTTTAAATACCTGATCTACATATTTAGAACTATGGAGAAGGTACCTAATACATATATATTTTTTTTTAACAGGAAAGGTTGTCTTAAGCTGCTGAAATTTCTTCTAGAGCAACTTAAAATGAAATATCCAAAGGAATTGGAAAAATTCTGTTCCTATCATGTCAAAACTGCTTTTCTCCACTCCTGTGTTATGTGGCCAAATGACACAGACTGGTACTTGGGAAATCTGGATCATTCTTTTCAGCAATGTCTGGGATTTTTTGTGGATTGTCTGCAAAAGTCTCAGCTGACTCACTTTTTTATTCCTCAATACAACTTGCTCAGCCTAGAAGATAAAGCAAGACATCATTTTCTTTCAAGAAAAATAAGCCAAGAATTGAATAATGGATTCCCAGTATTTCATGAGAATTATTAAGAACATTGTTCACAACAGATATCTAATCATGTTGACTTACATATTTGAAACAAAAAATTCTGCACCATAAATGACTCTTCAGTAGTCTGTACTACAAAACCTGAAAAACCCAAACCAAAATAAAATCAAAACCACTAAGAGAAAAATGTATACTTCAGTCACACTGCTTGGCCATAACCCTTAAAAGAAATGTTTTAAGTAATATTTACCTTGCCTATCCAAATGTGGATGTCACCTGCAAAATATCTTCAGGGTATACTAAGAACGTATAGAAGAATTTGCAATAGTTCATTTCCCACATGTAATTTCTGTGTTTCCAAATACAAAGGCATGAATGACTGCATAAAGGGAAAGTGGACAATTTTATTTAAAATTAAGATCCAGTGCAGAATATCCAAAATACACTCCTACTTTCAAAAGAAAAGAAACAACCAGTCATTGGAGCTACTTCGACATTAACCAGAACAACTTCTCCAGAGTACCTGGGTGGATATGAAGATCTTTTGCAGAAGACAATCACCAGCAACAATTACCACAGAGAGAATATTTTATCTGAGTAATATGAAGTTCTTGAAGTAACTTATCCTTTGAGTCTTCAGAATTACTTTAGAAATCAATCTTTTAATTGGGCTTTGGATGGGAAACAATTGTTACCTAATATGCTGCAACAGAGTAGATGGTTTTCTGCCAATGAGCATTTATTTGTATGATGAATAATGGAGTGAATAATGGAGAATATGGAGAATATGGAGAAAGAAATGCATCTTTCAACCTATAACAAAGAGGAAGACTCTTGATATAAAAGGTTTTCAAAACCAATATGCAGCATGAACTGGACACTCCTGAAATTGAAATTCATATCCATTTTTCTCATATTGAAGAAATGTGTGTTAGGAAAAAAAATTATATTTCCTTTTACTAAAATTGCGCAGGTGAGAAGTACACAGCATTTGAGAACTGCTGTGCTGCAAATAAGTCTTTTGCTTCTACTTATAGAAGCTATGGGAAGTCCATATTTTTAGCCTACTTTTTGAAGGCAAAATAACCTACTGGCTTGAATAATGGCCAGATTTACCTCAATGATGAGCAAATTAAGAGGAAAGAATATTTAGAGAGACATTTTACTAAAATATTGTCATTTTACTGAATTTTGTTAATTCATTTTTATTTAATCATATGACACACAAATAAACACAAGTTCAGGCCAAGCATCAAGTGAAGGAATGACTCCTTCCCACATAAATTTCAAAGAGTAGAAAACATGCCCCATTATTACTGGGAGTCTGTGACAGAACCTGACATCCAAATGTAAAGTGTGAATTGACTTTATCTGGAAGAAATAAAAGCTGACCTTCAAATGTATTATTTTCTCCATGACTTTGTTAACATTGCTCTAGTAAATTCTGGTTTTACTCCTTAAGCTAGAATATTACATCCACAAAAACCAAAAGCAGGTTTTCTTCCCCAAGTTAGTCACAAACAAGTACTTCCTGTCATGCTCCCCTCCATTACAAGAAAATGCAGACCTCTCTCAAAAAATCTTGAGACACAAGTCTTAATAAAAATGACTACCAATGTTAAGTCTTAAAATAAGAATAAACATAACTTGCTTCAGCAAACATAAGTAATGGCAAACAGAGCAGTTTTCATTATCCTGAGAAATCCTGCATGCCAACAGCATATCAAGGCAAAAAGGTATTTGAAAAAGTATTGAAAAGGTATGAAAAAAAGTATTTTGAAACTACATTGACAAACACTGCTTACAATGAATAATCTGGTTCTCTGAATATAAAAGGAAAAATTATCTTTTACATTCTTATATAGTAATATTGCATTTAACTAAAAAAACCCCAAACCTACCAACAAAGCCACAATATTAGTTTTTCACCAGTAGACAATGGCTTTAGAAATTTCATACATCACACAAGAAAGAAAAATTATGTGAAAATAGTATCCAAGTGCAAAACCAGATTTATTCCTATATAAAGTTAATCCAGTTTTCTAAGATGCTTTTGAGAAGTTTGTTTAAATAGGACAGGTACAGAAAACAAACACTAAATGAAACTGATAAATTCAAGCCCAAGGAAGCTAACACTAATTAAAATCACTTTCTCTGTTTCAGTAGCTTCAAAGGACTACACTTATTTTGAGGGCTTTCTCCAAGGTCTTTGTATATCCTTTTCAATTTCTTTTCTCATTTGTGATTGTTTGTATCTTTCTGCCATTGCAATAAGCTTGTCAGGAACTACCTATTAAGAGAGGCAAAAAAAAAAAAAAAGTGAATTTTAAATAAATATAAACTTTCAGACTGCTTTATGAAAATGCTGTTGATTTGTGTGTTCCCAAACTTGCTTTCATTATTTATGTGGCTCCTGTCGCTTTGCAGATTCTTTTCTGTAAAAATGCAGAGGGAAATTTTTAAATAAGGTGTACTGAAATATACCAAAAAATAATGATCATAGTGTGTCTGGATTTTCAATAATATATCTATGCTTGTATCATCATAACTGATGGCAACATATAACTAACCAATTACCTTTCTGTTTGAATTATAATGTTGCATCTTTTAGTTACAAGAAACAGCTGGTAAAATCATCCAGTGCCACTTAAAGGTGATATACTATATACATCTATTGAATGTTGATTTGTATTAAATTCCTTATGAAAGTTTTAAGAGCCTCTGAAGACAAACTTTGTGACTTAAAGTGCTGTCATAGGAATGGTTGTCACATGCTTAGAACGGAGCTAAAAGGCAAGCAAAGAGGGGCAGGAGAGAATGGTCAGATCTCCCATCACTGGGAGGTCGCAAGAGCACCTTACCAAGAGCCACAGGGGCTTTTGGCATGTTTGTAATTATGTGGAAAAGGTGACTAGTATCTCATCAAAATACTCTCACCTCAGAGTTCTTAACAACTGAGGCTAGGTGTGACGAATTAGAGACAGGTTTTTGTGACAGTGATGAAAAAAACCACCCAGATACCATTCTTTTGCTCACAGAACAAAGGCAATATCCAACAAGACTTCTTGAACCAGGTTGGGCAAAATGCTGACATTAATGCAATGTTTACTGCAAAAAGCACAGTAGGCAAGAGGTCTACTGTGGCTGTACTGTCAAGAGGTCTCAGATCACTGATCTATCAAAGCAGCCCACTTCAGCAATCTGTGATGGCACATGGCCATCACCTCCAGAATCAGTTTCCTGATCAGAGCAAAGGGCACTGTGTGAATGTGCTATTAATATGACTGTTCTGTGTCATTTGTGTCTGCCAGTGGCACAAATACAATGCAAACAGCAGAGGACAAACAAATGTAAATCCCTTAAAAGTCTCCCTAAATGTGCCTGGGCTTGGCAATGCTTGAACAGGTGGAGAATGCAGCCAGGACAAAAAGCCTGGTGGAGCAGGAAGTCACATTCCTCTAGTTCCCATTTCTTTTGTCAGGCTTCATAATTGAGCAATGCTTGCCATTTGCTACCAGCAACTTCTTGAGCTGGCATGAGGGACAGCTCGCTAGTATATGTTTTATGTGCTGAATTGCTCTTACTGGTAAGCAACTATCCTGGCAAAATATGACAACTCTGGAAGAGTCCATTCTTCCTAAGTTTGTTATTTAAAAATAAAGTTAACGTATCTCTAGCTGAAAGGCACAACAGACTTATCAATGGAGATAGAAGTAATGAGACAAAGTTATTTTTCAGTTGAAACATGGGGTGATTTTCTTCCTTAGTATCAAATCCTCCCCTAGAGCTTGAAGCACAACTTACTCCAAACTAAAATCGCAACAATTTCTTGCAAGAGTGATTTTTGAGCAAGCACAAGTCAAGAGTGGGAAGAAGTGAGGATACAGAAACATAAAAATCTCAGTGGGGTAATAGTGGCTTGTTGAAATTTTTCATGAACAATCTGTGTCTCCACTAAACATTCAAGCTAGGGTAGTGTCATCCAAGTGAGAAAAGGATAAAGCTGCCATAAGTTATATGGAATGCTTTTGTTGGGATCACTGTTTTTCCACCCGTTTTTCCAATAAATCTGTCCATGCTTATTAATAAGCATTTATATATAAAAGATTCCTTCAGCATGAAACAGACACCTTTTTGTTGTACTTGTTTTTTCTTTATATATGTGTAGATTCAAAATCACAAAGAACGTTTGGCTAACAAAAGCAACTAACTTGTTTTGAAATCAAAGTATTCTGAGCCTTCAGTTCTCTCTTACATGATGCTTTAAGACTGAAGCAATGCTACATTCATTTGTCATGAGAAAAAAACTCATTGCTTTGTCTGTAGGGGTACTTCCTTTCTATCAGACATAACTAAGTTTGAGAATGATGTTATGACTAATAGTAACTTCTGAAAGCAAGGATTCAGAGTTCCTCTTTTCTCCTCTGAACTCAGAGACTTGTACCCAGTTGAACTATCACACATTACAAAACACCCACAACCAGTTTGGGAACTTCACAGTCTGCAGCTGGAGACAAGACTTGAAAGGTAATTGCTAACTCAGAACAAAAAACTGAAGGCACCTCTAAAGTACCTTCACAGTATCATTAGTGGTTTCACCTCTTGCATTTTCTGAATAAAAACAAGCAAAAAACCCCCACCCCAACCAAAAACCCCAAATCTGTAACTTAAGGAATTATTAGGCGATTACTCTTCTACACCTTTTTTTCTCCTTTTCCTCCCTCAAAAGCATCTTACTAGGTTTGCAATAAAGCAACACAGTATCTTTCAAAGAATAGTTATAAAACAAGATTGGGGTGAAGTTCTAACCCAGGGTTTAAAGTCTGAGTAAGTGTCTATAGTAAAAACCACAGATTCTAGATAAAATCCATTTAGTGTGCACTCAAACTCCCATCCAAAAAAACAAACAAACAAACAATGTAACCCAAACAAACAAAATTTCAGCTCAAGTCAGGACTTGAACTGGGGGTTTACTGTAAATCAGGCAAAATGTTGTTCTTTGTTACAGCAAGAAACAGTATCACAATTATCTGTTTTCTTAGATATGATATCAAATAAAAACATGCTTCTTTAAAGAAAGAGATCACATTCCAGTTTCACTCCCCATACTATTTACAAGCACCAGTAATAAAGCTTGGAAAAGTACATGCAGGCGTCACAACTGTCAGATACAATAAACAGATAAGACAGTTGAGCTTCTTCTCATACAAGTATTGTTAATATTTAGACTGTTAAACAAGAAATCAGTACATGCACCAAAAGTGAAATGGAATAAAAATGGAATAAAATTTTATGAAATAAAATAAACCATATTATTTCTCTGCAGACCTCAATGTGTATCTTAATCACTTTTTCTTTGGACATGGAAGGCTTTGGCTAAAATTCACAGCTCCTTCCTGGGTCTCATCTATAAGGTAAAATGCAGCTAAGGCTATTTAGGACAAGACAGACTGAAATACCCATTGTCTTTCCCTGAGACACCACAAACACTCACCAAGGTGAGTCTAAATAGTCTTAGACCTTCATGACCTGCTTCAGGTGCTAACCCAGAACCAATATAAATCTTACCCAGTAATGTATTCTTACTTGGTTTGCTCTTTCCAGAATGTCAATCAGCTCGGATGCAAACTTCCAATCATTGCTCGTGACAAGTGTTACTGCCTCCCCAGAGCGCCTAAACGAGCAAGGAAACAACTGCTGATCCTCCAAACAACTCTGGCCAGGCTTGTGCTACTGACCTAGGCAGTAATGAACTCTACTACAGGCAATATTACTGAGCTGATAGAAGTGGCTTGAGCATTAACCCTGCACATGACAGAGAGCAACTCTTCATAAAAATCAGAATACAGCAATTCACCTAAAATTCAGCAAATGCACAACTAATTTAGATTTTTAGATAATAAACATAGCATAATGGCAATATATTTAAGTATGAAGAGACACACATTCATATCATGATTAAATGAGAAAAATCACACTTGTACTAGCCTGCGAAAGCAGCATCCAAAAAAACTACCACTAAACTACACCACCATGATTGGCTGCAGACTTTGAGCCTACAGATGCTTCTTTGCAATGTGCTGTCTAGAAAACAACATAAATTAGCAGCTCATGAAGATATAAACAAGGAAGTAACACTCCAGAATATCAATGTACACTGCTTTTCTAATTCTTCCTCATATTTAAACGAGCTTTCAAACACTCTTGATTCAATAACAGAAGAGACTTGTTTGCCTTCAATTTAACAGTGAACTCATTTAAAGGCATAAATCAGTGTGTTACTAGAACATACTTTGATAGACTGAAGTCTTCACTCCCCCACCCCACAACACCTGCAGCCTCTAGAATTTGACAAGAAAAACACCTATGCAGTGCATAAAACATAACAAAACACTGATAATACATGACTCTTTTCTGCTAAACACTTACCCTGCTCTTCCAGTACGACCTACTCTGTGAACATATTCCTCAATGTTGCGAGGGAAATCGAAGTTGAAAACATGAGTAATATCATGCACATCGAGGCCACGGGATGCCAAGTCAGTAGCCACCAATATTCGAACTTTGCCTACAGTATGACAAGAAGAGAACAGGAGTTTATGGAACAAACAGAAAACATACTCCAGTCTATTGATTTTCTAGCTTATAATGCACTTAATCTTCCTAACACGAAGTAAAAATATGTTTGTTGAATGTCACACTGAGTTAGCTCCAAAAATGAACTCGTGGTAAGCACCCAAAATGTCATTTTGCTATTATTTGCATTTCACAAGTAGAACAGCAGAGTGCAGGAAAAGTAAGAAATATGCCTGGTTGATATAAAAGAGTCTGTCCAAAGAACAAAAATGTCTACAACTATATTCTCAGCTGACACTCTTGTCACAGCATGAGTCTTTTATTGGCATGTGTTCATGTAACTCTGAATTGTGTTCATACAACCCTACTAGCATAATCTGGAGCAGGACTGTTTCACTGAAAGCACTATCATCTGACATTTAAATTTACCATTCTGTAGATATACAATAAAAATTTTTCCAGAAATGTCAAAAGTAAAATAAGCCTTACTTTAAATTATTGCTCTTCAACAAAATTTTGAATGTTTGGAAGTTTAATCTCTTTGTTTGCCGGGTCTTTTTTTTTTGTCAAATTAATAAAGAAAATGTGTAACTCAGAGCTCTTTAATATTTTCATTTCTATAGTACTAAAGAGACATGACACTTAGAAATAGACAAGTTTTGAACAGAACAAACTTTAAAAGCCTGGCCTAAACAAACCAGTACTTCAGTATAAACTCACCTTTCTTGAAGTCATCCAAAGCCTGTTCTCGATCACACTGTTCCCTGTTGCTATGAAGTGACTGTACTGGAATTCCTTGGATACCAAAGTCACTTGCCAAGTCATCAGCTCTAGGGTGAAATAAAGTCATGGCTCTTAGCATTAAAGAAAGAAAGGAAATAGTGCAGTATCTAGATTTAGATAAAAAAGACAGTAACATGACAGCAAAAGCTAAATATGTGCTTAAGGACAAAATGTTACCGAGGTCAGCTGATACTTATAAAACAAGAAAGCAAGTCTAATCCACATAGAAATGTTTACCTTTGCTTATACTTTATACGAATACTAGATAATCTTTGTGTTGTTCACTCAAAAAGTTCAAGTATGATACAATGACCACCCCCACATTAATCAGGTCTTGCATGCACCAGAGGTGTATGAAAGTAAACAGTACATCACATTGGTGTATCCCCAAGAATCCAAACATCCCACGTGAGCTATGTGAAACTGAGACTTACCATCACCATTAATGATATTAAAAAAGATACAAACTGCCAGTCAGTCTGAAGGAAGAAATAAATAAATAATAATAATAATACTAGCAGCACATTGTGGAGAAGAGGTATTACACTTGATAGTTAATATGTAAACTAAGAAACTATTCAGTATTTCTGTTAGGAAAAAAACCCCAAACAGAGATGATACTGGGAAGTGATTACATACGTAAGCTTTTTGCCCACAAAAATGATGACCTTATCTTTTGGCTTCATAGACTTAATGAAGCTATGCATGAAAGCTCTCTTTTCCTCCTCGGGGATAACAATAACTTTTTGTTGTACTGTGCTTACTGCCTGTCAAACAGCAAAAAGGGATGTTAGGTAGAAACAGATTACAATAATATTTTTTTTCTGTTAATTCCCATATTGCCATGCTATAAAACTAGTAATATATGATACCATAAAAAATTATTTTAATATGTATCGGTTTGGAGTTGAAACAATGCAGATTTCTTATTTCCTCATTGCTTTAGGAGAATAGTAAAATTTACCTTTAAGCAGTTTGCCAAACCATTTATTTGCAGAGATTTAAAGGGTACCGATTAGTGAAGTGAAAGAAATATATTAGTGAAAAACACATTTAAGTTCTTTAATTTGCTAATATTTTATGTTATTCCAGAGCAAGTTGGCAGTCTTACTTGAAATTACAGGCTTTTAAAGATGCTGTAAATCTCTTTGAAATGATCAGTTCTAACTATTCCAAAAACAGTTCATTAAAAACTTCACTTCATTATCTCTGAAGGTTACCACAGAATATCTAAAGTATAATTAATAAGTAGGATAAAATGTCTAGACATTCTCATGGCATGGTATCCTGATCTTGTGGCAAGAGTTGAAGATTCAATCAAGTAGACAAAGATCCTCCCTCCACATGGGACCCCTTCTCCCCATCAGATGTCACCTCTTCAATTGAGAGCATCTCCAGTATAAAGAGATTAATGCCCTAGGGAATAGAGCTACAAGAGCAGTTGATGTCTTTCAAATGCCAATCCTGACAAGAACTGCCCTTTGATAAAAGTGTAGATCTGAACAGAACAGACAAAAAGCACGCTTTGCCTCTATTTCTACTGAAAAATGTACTGGATATTAGGTTTCCTCATTCTCTATCACTAAAAAAAATGGAACTGAGAAGGAAAATTTCCTAAGATCTTGGGCAAACTACAGTTTCTGTAAATTCTGCTGGTACTGAAGCCAACTACACACAGGTGCACAGCAATGAAAAACAAGCAACTACATTCACATGTTAGAAGTTTTGGACTTTAAAGACAGTTCTTACTCTAACACATACTTTCTGCTATAGACAAGTGTCCTCCAAGAGTTTAGTACAAATCTCCCACTCCATTTGAGAAAGATGCAGTTAGGAAACACAAATTTAGATAAGGATCTGTATGCCTTAGAAGGAAGACCTTCAGAAGGAAAACCAAATAAAGAACAAGAACTTGCTGAACTAAAATTAACATTGCAAAACCAAGGGATCACACAAAAACATCTGGCATTGTGAAGTAGAACATTCAATATGATTGATACTCATCACCTGTTATATCTTCTACTGAAGAGCTAAGACTTCCACATGTTGTTACAGCAAACATGTTGGTTCATACTTTTAAAATTTTTCTGAACTTTTAAGGAAACTTTAAAACAAATAGCACGGAGCTATTTCTTGAAAGTGCAGATTGATTACAAAAGACACATGTATTTACTTACACACAGTTAGTTACAAGCAAAAAACTTCCTGGCTTAAACATAGGTTCTTCTACAAAAGGAAGGGGAAAAACCAAAAAAGAAGAGGACAACTTACTGCTAAGTCAAGAGTGCCGACATACACAATCATGGGATTTTTCAAGTAGGATTTTGCCAGGCGACGGACACCATCAGGCCAAGTAGCACTAAACAGGGAGTGAAGAGGAAAACACACACACATGAGAATAGTGTGCCAAATCTTCTCCAATTCATTAATTTCATCACATGCTTCTTTTCTTTCCTGTCTTATGCACCAGTGAAACAGATATCCAGTAACAGTATTGAGTTTAACTAATCCTAAGTTAATAGTAAACAGCACTTGAGCTTTAAAGGTAATTTTGTTGGTTACAAGTACGGGCAACAATTACAGAACCTTTCTATTGAAGCTTCAGCTGAGTTTAGTAGTTGAACAATACCCAAATAAGCAAGTTTCTAGTCTGTTTTCTAAAGCAACAGCTTAAATGCAAAATACAGGAACAAAAATTATTTTTGGGATACTTGATTGTTAAGTTCCCAAAAGCTGCATAATTTCAAAATTAATCCGGGTACAGACTAGCACAGATACTGATCAGAAAGTCCGGAAATACATTTGGTCCCAGATGGAGAACTGTAAGCTGGCATTTCAAATTGATATGGCAAATTCCAGCACTCCCAGGATACCTTCCATTTTTTGGGACAACTCAACTGTCCTTATATCTGATGTTAAAAATCAGAAAAGTCAGTACAAAACGAAAAAAAAAAATTGTCAAACGACTCACGTGGACTGACTAGACCAAATTAGAAAGAAAACTAGTAAAAATTTTAGTAACTGACACATTTGGTTTGAAATTAACTTGTTCAATAATAATTAACTTGTTCAATAACCTTATGTTCAAGTCCTGAGCACTATCGTGTTTAGATACCTTGTCATAACAGTTTGTCTGTCAGGACGCACATCAATTAGGATCTTCATAATCTGTGGTTCAAATCCCATATCTAGCATTCTGTCAGCCTCGTCTAAAACCTGTTCAGAAACAAAGTTATTTATTTTGCCTAGTCCCTCAGATAAGAGTTTGTTTCATCAAGAAATTACACAGAAAAAGATTTTAATGGTAACTGTTTTAATTGCAGAATCTTCTCCATAACTTACTGCAAAACCTGTTTAACTTCTATTCTACCTCTTCAATTTCCTTGACACTTTTTCATTCAGTATTATATTTGCAGGCAAAACAAGAAAATTCACAGTTCCTTTAAGAGTATTTAAAGTCAATAAAAAAAACAACTGTTTGTTTTACCAATAATTAGGTTGATGGCTAAAACTAAGCACAAACTAAAGAACCCCCAAAAAACCCATAACCAACCAAACCCAGAGGGGAGCAACCTGCTCAACACATGTAAGAAGTTGTTTGCAATTTGAAGGGGAAATCTCATTTCTACCTCATTAGAGAACTCATACAGGATCAAAATATCACTTGTCAATTTAGCTCCTCATTAGAAGTAGGAAAAAAGCCAGAGCATACATTCTGGAACACACCAGGACACAGTACAACTCCCAGAGCACAAGCTTGTGTCATCTGGTAAAAAAAGCCAGAAGTGAACAAGTGAACTGGAGCTCTGAGAACAACTCTTTGGAACTAAAAAGTTTTCTAATTTACAAGCACACTTGTAAATATTTTCAGTCTCATACAAAGAAAGAAGGCTGACATCTGAAACTCATTTATGTCCTTTGATTTGTAGAAATTCTATTCGAAAATTAAAGAGACATGGATTGTGCTTTTAAGTATTGACAATTTTTAGTCACTTATGTGGAAATACAAGACATTGATGATAATCCCTTTCTCATGTCCTAATTTTGCTGTTTCATTATTATCTGATATTTTATTATATCAAAGGGGTTTAGTACATTTTTTAATGTAAATCTCTGAAATAACCACAAATTATCAACTGAGAGACAAGACAAGAATTCTATTTCTTGATTTAATTATCTTTATTTTTAGAGGGCGCATGGAGGTGTCATTAACTACATGAATTCTAATAGAAGAGCAAGGCTGAAACATCACTGATTTTACACAAATAGTTGGTTGCTATGCCTTTTTCAGCAGTAGAAGCTTTCTATGCTATCTATTAAGCTTACTGGCACTTTGCTGCAGAGGGAAAAGGAAGCATCTGTGTCTAATTGATGGATCAGGTAGCTGAAATTTACTTTTCTTATTTCTGATAGATGCTTCACTATGATTAAAGGCTGTAATATATGTTAAATAGATATTAGTACTGATTTTTTCAAGTGTGTCACAGCCCTATCCTGGTTTATAAACTAAATGTCCTTCAATGGGCATAATCTTAGGTCTTTTGTTTTCTTTAAATATTTATATATTTGTTTGTTAATATTGTTCATTTTAGTTCTATTTCTTGGCAAGAAATTTTTACTTTTTTGCATTGAAGAAAAAAAAAAGCACTACTCCAATCTACCTTTTACATCCTCCTTCATGATTTATACATATATATTTTTAATCACACTTTCTCCTAATGTTTCCCAATTATTCATGCGCAATTCTAATTTCCTTCCTTCTGCTTTATCAGCATGAAGTCCAAGGAATTAAGATTATTTCATCAGACTGCTGATGAATGAATACTGATTTACACCCAACACAGGGAAACAAAAATTGTATTTTCATATGACGTACTTTGAACAATCAAAAGGCTGTTTTTGACAGAATCTACAACGTTACTTCTGAAATACTGAAAAAACAGCAGCCAATCTTGAATAAATAGCTTCCTAAAAATCTGAATCAAGACTTGATCAACTTGGTGGCTCTGTCAGGCAAGAAGAGAAATTCTAAACTCAAATTCATCTTGAGTCCATTACCTAATTAACAGAGCCTGGTTTTGTGTTGTTGTTTTTCTTTTCTGGGGGGTGGGTACATTTGGTTGGGTTTTAACAATTGTATCCCAGTATAACCTTGGAAATCCTTTGGGAAACAATTGTATCACATAAGTAAGTAATACTCAGTTTACTTTGGGAACTTTCCTTAGACTCAGTAATATCTTTAAATGAAAACTGTAAATTAAGCTTTTCAATGAAAAGTGTTCTTCATGCAAGGTGGTAAATGTGAAATCTATTACCACTCTTTTTTCCTAAAGCAAAGCTGCAAGATTAAATTATATGTTGGCTGAAAACTCACAATGAAGCTCTGGAAACAGAAAGCATCATATATATCGAAAAGCAAAAGAAACAAGGATATATATATAGGAAGATCACAAAAATATAGAATTTTCAATGTCCAATTTTTCACATGAGGCTTTGGTAGCACAGAATTTCCTTAAAGCCTGAGGCATGAGACCTTAATCACATCACAATACATGGTCCTTGCACTGGTTCTTCTTAAAACATTTAACTGCTAGTGGTGCAACAAAAAATGTTTCTCCTCCTGCTTCACATCATCATAGTTTTCAATTTGATAGTTAATTCTTTTTAGCAATGTCATACTGCAGTATATGCTGCATATACTGGAACATGCTTTTGGTTCAATACCCATGGAACCAGTGTGTGCCTGTGGTATGACTATACTTCACCTTGGCAGAAAGGTGACCTATGTTCCTATAATCCTCACAATGCAGGTTTTCAGGCCTGTTTTCCTCCTGCTCAGCAATTACATGTTAGTCTTCTACACAATGCTACTCTACTGTCTTCCTGTGATAAACTTTTTTCCCAAATGGCCACATTTATAATGATGCTATACCAACAGCTGGCCTTGCCAGTAAGCTCACAACAATCACTTAGAATTGGAGCTAACTTGTTACAACATTGAGAGAATTTAACCCTCACAGGGTAGTGGGATGGACAGAGAGCATGGCCAAATTGTCAAACTAGGCAACAATTCACAGACAAGATAGGAATAAATTGAATATATGGAAGCATTTTACAAACAGCACTGGTCTTACCTGTTCAGCACAGGAAAAGGCAAAAATGAAATGAACACATAAGGATTATAATAACGTTATAAGGCTGTTTTCCCACTGAGATCAAAAGAAAGTCAGTCCCCCAACATTTAAATATCTGTGTGTGACTCTGCTACCACACAAGTTCTAATAAAAAATTTGAGACACTGGTAACCTTTAAAAAGAAAAGGAAAAGACAGCTTCAGAAAGGCATTTCATCCATTAGTAACTAATCCTGACAAAATGAATTTTAGAATGCCATTACTGAAAAAACAATTTAGCATCTTTAAAATGCTTGCTGTGCTAAAAGCCCATTTTTCCTAGGGAATATTTCACATCTGCAGTGCAATTACACTATGAATCATCCCTCCAACACCAATTTCAGCGTTAAGTTGTATTGTAATTAATACTTTGGAAGTTTAAAGAAAACTCCATTAAAGCTTAAATTCAAACTGAGTCAACCATTTCCCAGCTGGTGCATTACTCATTGCGTATCAGTTACTTGCCAAATACGTTATGCTCTTCAAATTTATGAAGTTGTTCATTTGAAGATCATTCAGTCTGCCAGGAGTAGCAATAACAATATCCACACCTTTGGTAACCGTGTCTATCTGTCCTTTCCGGTCCCCACCACCATAGACGCAAATACTGTAAAATAAAACAGTTTTACAGACACAGGGTATTAAATTTCAGCTAAAGTCAATACCACCATGTTGCTTTAAGTGTGTCACCTGATATTAACAAGTGGAAGGAACACAGTAAGTGTGATTGACAGTACTGCAGTAATTAATAAAATTAACACTGAATGACACTCTCTCAACAGTTCAGCAATAGTTTTCTGCTGAAACTGCAGTGAAACTAATCGTGAAAGGAAGATAGCTCATATGTTTTGGGTTCTTCTGAAAATATTTACATACAAAATAGATTAACATATGAAAGGATGCATGATTTTACTAATAGTACTATCAAAAGTGAGACGTTTTGCTGTTGGGGTGACTGTAAAACTTATTCAGAGTGCTACACAAAGTTAACAGAGATCCCTAAAAGCAAGTTTCAGAGCACAGTAATGGCTGTTTAATTGCTTAAATGACGATCTACATTTAGCAGGTTTGTGGATGAAACCAAACTGAGGAAGGAGCTGATACACTCAGGGGAATTAGGTTTTTACCAGAAGAACCACAAAAAGGCTAGAGAAATGGGCTGATGAAAATACCATAAAGTTAAAAAAAAAAAAAAAAAGAAAAAAAAAAAAAGAAAAAAAAAAAGAGAGATGAAATATACCCCATGACTCAGGGCCAAAGTACTAGAAGATAACCTTACAAAAAGATTTTTGTGGGCTAGAACCTGAACATTATTCAGCAACATAATCTCTTAGAAAAGAAAGCTAGGTGTGTTCTATGAGAAGGTAGCAATAGGAAGCATAAAAATAGCATTGGCCCATTACAGGATGAGGATGGTCACTTTACAAAGAGGGACAAAGACTAGGAAGAGCTGTTTAACACGTTCTTTGCTGCTGTCTTCAACACAGATGATGCACCAAGGGGATTTCAGTGCCCTGAACAGGAGAAACACAACTGCCAGAATGATCCACTCCCAGCTGAGCTGCAAATTATACAGGATCTGCTGCTCCAGCTGGATTTCTACAGATCTATGGGGCATGATGGGATTTGTAACAAAATCCTCAAAGAGCTGGCTGATGTAATTGCAAAGTCTCTCAATGATTTTTGAGTGGTCTTTGGAATCCAGAGAGGTCCCTGATGAAGTTATGGAGAAGATTATTCTGGGAGGTAAGACAATGGCCACAGCCAGCAGCTCCATGATGGTGAAGTCCTGCTTGTCAAGCCTGACTTCCTTTTATGACAGTAACCCACCAGGATGATCACGGGAAGGAGGTGATGCAACCTGCTTGGATTTCAGTAAAGCTTTCTCAATACTATCTCTAACAGTACCCTTCTGGACAAAATGTCAAGCTCACAGCTGGATAAACACAGCATAGGATGGGTTAGCAACTGGCTCACAGGTCAGGCATAAAAGGTTACAGTGAATGGGGTGACATCAGACTGGTGACCTGTCACTAGAAGAGCCCCACAGGGCTCCATCTTTGGCCCACATAACATCTTCATAAATTACTTGGAGGCAGGACTGGAAGAGGTACTAAGCAAGTTCACAGACAATACAAAACTGGGAGGAGCTGCTGACTCCCTCCAGAGCAGGGAGGCCCTGCAGAGGGACCTTGACAAAGCAGATGGCTGGGCAACCACCAACCACATGAAGTTCAATGAGGGAAAGCGCCAGATTCTGCACCTGGGATGGGCAACCCTGGATGTACAGACAGACTGGGGAATGGGATACTGGAAAGCAGTGCCATGGAAATAGACCTGGGGGTCCTGGTCAGTGGCAAGTTGAACATGAGCCAGCAGTGCCCTGGCAGCCAGGAGGGCCAACTCTGTCCTGGGGGCATCAGGCACAGCATCACCAGCCAGGCAAGGGAGGGGTTTGGATATTAGAGAAAGGTTCTTCACTCAGAGGGTGGATAGGCTCTAGAACGGATTCCCAAGAGAAGTCATCACAGCACCAGCCTGACACAGTTCAAGTGTTTGGACAACACTCTCAGTCACATGGTGTGACTCTTAGGGATGTCCTATGCAGGGCTAAGAGCTGGACTTGGTGATCCTTGTCCCTTTCAAGTCAGCATATTCTGCGTAATGCTTCTTAGCTGTCAACTCAGAAGGAAAAGAAGCAGAAAAACTACGTAGACTTTGACCATGAGATTAGTCAAAACAGAAATTCTGAAAACTGGGAAAATATAAACTCTGCATTTACTACTATCTCCTCCCATGTTAATTCAACTACTACAATAATTGCATTTAAGTCACAACTGGTAGGAGGAAAAAAGATATTACTTAACAAGCCAGTGAAAAGCAACACTACCTTTTAATTCCTTTGTATGCATACTTTGAACACTCTGCCTCTACTTGAAGTGCCAGTTCTCTAGTGGGAGCAAGAACTAACATTCCAGGTCCCCCACGCTGATCTTTGGATCTGCAACAAAGCATATTTAGAATGTTGGTATATAAGGATGGGTGAAGTCCATCATGCTTGACACTGAACATTTTTATACCGTTCTAAGCTTCCTCTGTAAACTGCTGCTAATGGAATCTATGGTGACAAATTTGGTGCTTATTCCATCAGATTTATAATTTTTTTTTTTTTAATACATGACTTATCTTTACTAGAAAATCATCTCAGGAGTTGGGTGCAGGAGGAAGTAAGTGCAGGGGGAAGTATGCACAGCTAAACAAATCAGACCTGTGAGCAGTCCTTACATTGGTTGTGAAGTCAAGTGAATGAATCCAGGCATTAAGTATGCTAATGTCTTCCCAGTACCAGTCTGCGCTATACCAATAAGATCAATTCCTTGGAGTATAATTGGCCATGCCTGGGACTAACATAAAACAACAAATACTTAAATGTAGACTTCATTTTTCTCTTAAGGTTCAGTTAAAGAGTCATCGAAATTGAAGACATACCTGAATTGGTGTAGGCTTTTGAAAACCAACTTTTCTTATATTGGCCATAATATCAGGATAATGCTCAAATACATCTTCAAATTTACAAACAGGATTGGGAATGCAGCGCTTTTCACCTTCTTTCAAGTCATCACAAGTTATATCATTATTTTCCTTCCTGTATAAAGTAGTGCAATTGTTTTAAAGTCTCACTATCTGAAAAATTAGAGCTAACATAAAATACTGTGTTTCTTAACCTTTTTTGAACTCCTTGAACAAGAAAAAACAAGTTCAGGCTCTTGAATGGGACTGAATTAGACTTCTTAAAAGTCCTTCTATAGGAACACTTCTCCCAGAGGTATCAATTACCATTTTTTCTTAAGAATGACTAATTTGAAGTTATGTATGTTATTAACACGAACTGCACTCCTATCAGGCTACAATTATACCTGATTACAAATTAAGTAGGTATGACAAGTTTTTAAACCCAAAGACAGCCCAGAATTCAGATGAATATCTTCACCTTATCAGTCAGAACTCTATATTCTGACAAAAACCTCCCCCAACTGTTTTCAGAGCAGCTACCTGGATATTCTAGTGAATACCAACAGAACAATTTTGGAAAAAAAAACATGACCAGTAAGACAAGCTCCAAAAAAAACCCTGGAACAACAAGACCCTACAAGCTGGCAAAACCCAAATCACAACACATATAAAAGACTATATTAAAAACTGCTGTTCCAAGGCTTCCTCCAATTTACAGCTATTAATATGCTGTCCCCTGGTTTCAGCCAAGAGCAGAGTTAATTTTCTCCCACTGGCAGTGAGGGGAGCTTGAAGCCAGGTGGGCATGCCTACATTGTTACTCTGTATCACCCAAATCATCGTTGAGGGGGGAAGGGATTTTCACTTTCCAGGAGAAAGGGGTGTGGTGGTGTCATGTTGGTTGGACTTCCATGAGCACTCTTGCATGCAATCACCTTTTATACAATGTTTTCATTAGTGTTGCTGCTGTTTTTCTTATCTCATTGACGTTCTCCAGTAAATTCCTATCTCAATCCATAATCTCTGCCTTTTGTCCCTCTCACACAAGAGGGACTAAGGGAAGCAGAGTGGCTGCTTAGAGCTTAATTTCCATCTGGTTTTAAACCATGACATCTGCATAAGCATATTGATTTCAGTCCTGTACTCCTCTGAAGACTCCCTCCAGTAAAAAGCTTTTCTTCATATGGGGTGTAAGCTAGGAAAAGAATGGGCAATTCAACTTCCCCTCATGTTTATAGAATTATTTCTTTCAGTTGCTGCCTTTTTTTCCTTAAAGCAAACTGATTAGATGAAGTAGAAAAAAATTCCTTTATCACACAAGTTCTATTCCTCAGTACATATTTTTAACCTACAAGAACAATGTTCTGTAATTTTCACTAGCTCCAACAACAACACATCCATATACTTTAAGGGAAAAGGTGAAAGCATCTGGAAACAATTCCATGCTTTGCTCACCGTGGCAAAGTTTCTCTGGCATGCAAAGAAAAAAAGACACCTTGCAAAAAGAAAAGTAGTAAAAAGCTAACACTTCAATAATGCTCACTAACTTCATTAGAACTACTAAAGAGAGCTGTAACTATTACCAAGGCCTGAACCAAATCACTTGAAAGAGATGATCTGTTTTCCTTGCAAGGTACTGATATAGGTTGTTGGATCAAAATAAATTGATGCAGTTAACAAAGCATGTACTCACCAGGATGTGCTTGTAAAAACAAGACAGATAAAAAAGGAAGACAACAGTAACAAAAGTTGGAATTTGGTTTGAAAATAGTTTTGACTAAAAAACGCAGGTGAAAAAATGCAGCTAAAAGGTAGTCAACCTGTGAACAATCCTATTTGGAAGGACCTAGAAAATGTGAACGTACTGTCTCATGAAAGGCAAAAACCAGCCAAAAATCAGTGAACTGTTATGAATTTTTTCTGCTCTGAAATTCAACTAAATCAAGATTTTTAGAGAAGCAGAAAATCCCTGAAATTAATTTTCCAGGCAACTAATAATCTCATCTGCTAGTTGTTTCATTCCCAAGAAAGAGTTCTTAAAAACATTAAGTTGCTACAAGACCCCAGCATTGGTGCCTCTGTTTCAGTATGTAATCTCCCACTTTCTAGGCTTTACAGTTTAACAGTAATTTTTGCCAAGCAGACGATTTCCTAAAGAAATTATCTTACCGCCACAGTTCCACTTCTTCTTGTGACATAGATGCAGTCCTGGGTGATTCTTTGTAGAAGTTTTTCTCAATTGGAGGCAAGCCTTAAACAATCACAAAAATCCAACTTGAATCAGCAAGAAATAATACAGTCAGTGTACATCTGCTAGAGCTTAAGATGGAAAGCCCAGGACCCAGAAAGTGCCTTGAGCCAGAAGACCAGCTGGACACGATGGAAAGCCATTGCTCATGTACAAAATGAAGGCTGAGACAAACACTTCAATATCTGCAAAAAACCCACTCCCCACATTTAAAGTTCTGAAGTAATATCTACTAACATATACAGTAGTATATTTGACAAGTCCTAGTTTTGCTTTTTGTTTTTCTGGTGGCCACATAAAAAACAGCACCATTTTCAAAGGGTGACATTCAAAATACCACATGAGTAGCAGGTTTAAGGCACAGTGATCAGTATCATCCATGACCATGCTGAGAAATGCTAACATGGCCAGCTCACTGCAAATACACTAATGTGAGCTCTGAAAGATTCAGTTACCTCAAAGCAAGTATCAGAAACATTTAAGCATTCCAACAGATTTACCACATAAAGGCAAGTATAATACAATCAAAATTGTAAAACTAACCTGCCCACTTCATAGATTCGTATTTGGCCCTGTTTTCTCGAAGAGAAGCCCAGTTAATCACTGGTTTCTTTGGGTTATTTTCAGGCTTGATGGTGTCCAAGGTTTTTCCTGCAGAGTTAGTAACAAAATGCTGCTCTTTGATGGAACAAACCATGGGGAGAAATCTCCCCTCAAAACAAACGTGTTTTCAATTGCAAGGCCTCATATATTTTAAATAGACATGAAACAAATATATAAGTAGAAAATTATTTCCTAGATCTCTGCCCTGAAACATTGTTAAAATGTCTACAAATTCAGTTTTGATAAAAAAAGGGAAACATTTCAACATCTTTAGCTATTTAAAGGGAGCAATGACAGGGCATGAAATGCTTCTCCTCCAGCTATAAACTAGGTTTGTTGTGCAGCAAGGTTTTGAAAAACGTGTGAAGCCAGTATATGATATGCAGAGAGAAAGCTTTAACAGCTAGAAGAGCTAAGCTTAGGTCTAAAGCATCCAACAACACCACAATAAAGTCTCAGTCTAGTTATATTCTATACTTCATTTTTTATGAGGTTAACACTTCCTAAATAAGTGCAGCTTAACCTGAAGATATAAATAGCAACAGAGATGTGTGGAAAATTAGTGGAAAGGCAGGAAACATAGGGATAACATTGTCAAATTCCTGAGGTAGTTTTAAATATTTCTTGTCTCTTGAAACATACTCATCCACCTTCTGGGACACTTCTAAAAAGGAAACACACAACTACTCCAGTCCTTATTCTAATGCTGGAACATAATTCCTGGATCCCTTCCTCCTCATCAGTGCATCAGATCAGAATTGTGGATGGTGTTTGCCTGTGCAAAAACTTGTTGGGAGCACATACACTATATACCCACAATAGAAGCAGCATCCAAATGTACAATAATGATTTCTATATCCATGTAAGAAAGCTAGCACAGGGAAGCCTAGCAAAGCCAGGCATGAAATGCAACATAAAATCTTAAGACATTAACATGCCTTGAAAGTAGGAGGAAGTCAGCATGGCCCATGCTATGGTCAGCACTTTACAGACTATCTTTACAAAGGTTTACTGAATTGTTACACACCACAGATACCAGATTGAAACTGGCACTAGAGCCAATCCTGTTATTTTGGAGGAATCAGACTGATAATGCAAGAACCAAAGTGGTATAACATTCTGCATCCATTAAAAAAAAACTAGCTTTCACGGAATCCTGGCAGTTTGGTGGGAGCAGGAAACTTTCCACAGTTGAAAAAAGGAGATATCTTGGTATTTCTGTTTTAAGAAGATGCCATTGCCCAAGAACAAGGTTGAAATTAACTTATTTCTTAAAATACTAACAATATAAAACACTCCAGCAAACTACCAAACATATGGAATAGAATTCATAATATTTTTCCCCCAACCCCACATTTCTCACCTTTCTCTGTCCCACCTCTAACAGAGTTTTGTCCAGAACTTGTAATAATATTGTCAATCAACATCTTGGCTTTGTTTTGCACATCAATGCTGCCAAAAATCTTTACTTCAGATTCATAGGTTCCTCTTGTAACCTATGTTCAAAAACATCACTGAGTTGTTTTTTTTTTTCATACTGCAAAGACAAACATTATACAAGAACACATACTGAAAAAAATTTTTGATCTTTTGTTCCCTGAAGTTCAACTTGTTCGATGAAAAAGTCCTTTAATCCCTTTTCCAAAAGAGAAGGAAATAAATGCACACTTAAGGAAAAAAAAATCAATAATATTTTTCTATTTCCACATAACATCCAAGTGCACCCTCAATTCCACTTTCTTTCAACCAACTGCAAAACAGTGGCATTATTACTATATTAGCTATTATTACTATTAGCTATTGTAACACCCTTCAACTTCTTCCAACTGGTTTACACAGAAACAAAACCAAGTATGTTCCCAACAGAGCCCATTTCTTGACAACATACAGCACATGGTACCTTTATCCTGGAACCCGAAGAATCCTCAAGTTCTTTAATTTTAGCTCCACCCCTACCTGTTATAGAGACACACAGCAGGTATTACAGAGATTTAGGACAAACTGCCCAAACCTACACATTAATTGTATGTATTTTGTTTGTGATCAAACCCCGAGACTTTCATATGTGTGCATGTATCTACAAATAAAAGAACACCAAACTGCGGGAGACTGCAGGCAATTCTTTTGTCAATTAATCAAATGCAAGGTTTGTGTGTAGGGGAATGCCCTTCAGCAGGAGGAGTAAAACTAGACCAAGAGATTGTCACCCTTCCTGCGTGTGATAGAGGGGCTTCAGAACACTTGCACACTGCTGGCCTTGAGAAACAGACATCAACTCAATCACTTTAGGGCGGAAAAGTTTCCCTGGCGAGTGGCAGAAGCTCTGCAAAAGCAGCCTGCCATGCCCAGGTGGAGAGGGAGACGCACGGGGACTGCGAGGGCTCCTCCCCGGCCAGACGGCCGGAAGGCAGGGATGCCCTCCCTCAGGGCACAGGGAGGGAGCGGCTCCTCCCCACCCGCGTACCTCAGCGGGTCAAGCACCCGTCATTACCTATGAGAGCCCCGACCAGGGCGCTATCCAGGTGGAAGCAGAGCGGCGCCGCAGAGTCCCGAGCCTGGCCGGCCGCAGCTCGGGGCGGCCGCTGCCGCGCCGCCCGCCTCGGGCCGCCGGAGCCTTCAGCGCCTCGCGGCTCCCACCCCTCCCCTCCGGGATTCCCCGTGCCCTTCCCCCGGCGCCCGCCGCTCTCCCCGGAGGCGCGGCCCCACGGAGGGGTGCTGGGCGACCAGCAGAGCGGCCCGGCAGCCGCGGCCCGCGGCCAGTCCGGCGCGCCCAGCTCCTCGTCGCTGCTCGCGTCCCAGTCCGACATGGCCGCCTCACCCGGCCCGGGCGCCCATGCGGAGGGGCTTGGCGCGTCTCAAGCCCGGGCTGCGCTGATTGGCCGGGGCGGGTCGCTCGCTGAGCTGTGATTGGCTGGCTCCGCACGGGGGCGAGGCTCTATGGCTGCCCCTGCCGGGTCTTAGCGGGGTGAGGGGATCGGTTGGGTTGGGAAAGGCCTGCGGGACCATCGAGTCTGAGCCGTGATCCAGCACCGCCTTGTCAAACAGACCGTGGCACTGAGTGTTTGAGACCATGCCATGTGCAGTGTTTCCTTAAGCACTCTAAATGTGGTGACACCCCTGCTCCCTGGGCAGCCTGTTCCAATGCCCACTCACTATTTCTGCAAAGAACTCTTGCTAATGTGCAGCCTAAACCCGCCCTGGCACACTTTAGGGCTGTGTCCTCTTGTCCTGTCTCTGGGAGAAGAGGCTGACCCCCACCTGGCAACAGCCTCCTGTCAGGCAGGTGCAGAGAGCCATAAGGGCCTCCCTGAGCTTCCTTTGCTTTGGGATGAGCAGCCCCTGCTCCCTCAGCTGCTCCCCACAGGACTTGTGCTCCAGACCCTTTGCCAGCCTTGCCCTTCTCTGGACTCGCTCCAGCACCTCAGTGTCTTTCCTGCGGTGAGGGGCCCAGAACTGGGGAGAGGACTTGAGGTGTGGCCTCACCAGTGCTGAGTACAGAGGGACAATCACTGCCCAGGTCCTGCTGGCCATATTATTGCTGATATTTTCTGATTTTCCTCTCTCCCTGCTCCTCTGCCAGCACAGGGTGACCCTGGGTTGAGCATAGCTGAGGAAGAGGAGGAGGCAGCAGAGGCAGGAACATAGTTGAGAACGTGGGAAGCCCCCAAAGTCTGTAGGGTGCAGGGGGAAGGCAGGCAGCCTCAGGGAAGGCAAGGGGGTGGGGGTGGCACTGTGTAATTTTGCCAGGTGCCCAGGCTGCTGTCATGCTGATACACTGCAGTCTGATTTTTTAAGCGAAGTCATAATACTTAATCCAAAATGAAGCCTTAATGATGCTTTAATGAAGCTTTTATGTTCAGTGTGACTCAATGTACTAAAGCTGATACAATACTGGAAACAGAATCACAGAACGGCTGAGCTTGAAGGCCTCTGGGACCCATCTGGTGCAACCCTTCTGCTCAAGCAGGGACACCAGGAGCCAGTTGCCAAGGTGGCCTGTGACTTTCTCCAAGGACGGAGATCCCACAGCCTCCCTGGGTAAACTGTGTCAGTGCTTCATTACCATCACTGTGAAAAAAATAGAGAAAGCCAAATGAAAACAGTAAAGAGCTAACATACCCCATACCCCTTCAATTACACTAAAAAATTCTAAATGGGTGTTTACATTTCCTTGTTAGCTAGGGTCCTGGATTCTTATTGTACAGAGCTGAACATGGAACATTTATCCATGTGTCTTTATGGATACATATCACCTGTGCCTACTTGTGGCAATCTTCCAGGTAATGCAATAGGAAAAACTACTCTCTGCTGTCTTCTGACCCTTCCCTAACAGCTCTGTGCACACAGGAAGCAAGGCTGCCTGGTTTAACATCAGAAGAGAATGTGCACATTTGCTTCTTTTCCTGTCCTGTGTTTATTCTTAGGCAGAGCTTGGTAGTGTTCACATTGGCTGATATGGAAAACCTCCCTTTCTGGCAATCACAGCTTTAAATTTCAGTATCTTAAGATGATGTTCATCAGAGAGGCTGGGGATCACCTGCACATTGAGCTATCTGGGTCCCATCATGAAGCCTCCACAAAGCCACAAGACAAGGCTCTCTGTATTGAGTATTTTACACTCAAATAGTGAAGCTTGTGTTCAGCCAGGCTGTAGGGAGAGCACAGTGGCGAAAGTAGGCGTGTTGCAAATGAGTGGTTCAGGTTTGGTGCGGTAACATTCTGTAGCAACTTTCATGGTCAAATGCAGAAGAAATTGCTTCACCTAGGCCTCAGGTCAAACTGAGATGACAGATGTGTCTTCCGTGAGAAATCCTACTCCCCACACAGGTCCGCAATTGCCAATACTGAATCCATTGCCCTTTGTCAAACAGGGAAGGCAGCAATGACTTCCAAGCTCATTTTCATAAAGGAGCTGCAACATTAAGAGAAAGTAAACTGCTGTAAACATTTACCAGAAACTAAATATGTCAGACTGGTTTCTGCACATTTTATTCTAATAAACTTCCTTTATGGTGTTTTGGTCCACTTATTAAAAAATTTCAAAACTTCAAAAGGAAAACAATGAGCAAGCTTAATTGTTTTTTCTTGTCTGATATGTGGTCACACCATACGATCTTTTATATAAGGAAAAAACTCAGTAGTCAGGGTACTTTTCAAGTCATTTTTATTAACAACAATATGGATTCAACTTTGTCAAGAATTTACAATTAACATTGTAATGTACTGGCTAATGTTGCAGTGTCAGTGGAAGCAGCCATCATGCTTTCTAAGCCTACTACAAAACTTTCTTTTTGTCTTTCAAAGAAGTCAAAAACGCTTCCAATAGCAGATGACATTGGATATGTCAAATTGTCCTGTGTGTGGCCACAGCTGAATGAACGGCCACATTTGCATCCAGATGAATGGATAGGAAAATGTTAAATACTACATGCTTCCACTGACGTTGCAGGGGACAAATCTTATTTCAAAAACAAATTAATCTTTTTAGACAGTGACAGCACATTGTGTGATGTTGTAATCCATTTGAATAAAGTCAATTAACACACCTGAAAAAAAAAAGTGAAGCGGAAATACCTGGGACAAATTCTTTTCCATATTTCATTCAAACCCAGTGAATCCAAAAGGATTGCATGACATATAAGTCAGGATAAAAGTTGGCCCAGAGAGGCAAGTTCATTTCTGGTACAGGTGGTTCAGTTCCTGTAAGGTCAATGGAACTGAGTCTGATTATCCCAATGGAGGCTGAGCTTCACCCCGTTGGGCAGTGAATTCATTGAAGTCAGTGAAGCCATCCAAGGATGAATTTATCCTCGGGTGTTTAAACCCTTTTTTCCTCCATTCCTTTGCTGTTATATTTTCTTTTCCTGCTTATTCCTACTTTCTGAATATTCTGATTTTCTCTGTGCTTTAAAAAAATGTCCCTTCTCTCCTTCCCTTTTTATATCAATACTTTGTGCGTTATTTTTTATATAGTCAATGTGACAAGGGTAAAGTCAGCTAAGTATTAGTTTCCTCAGGAAATAACTGGAATATTACCATTTTCACTTCAAACAGATGCCCAACAAAATTAGGATTTGAATCTGAGTTCCCAATTCAAGAAAAATTCTTGAATTTCATAGAATGAATGAATTCCATAGAATTTTTGCTTGAGTAAGGATTGCAGGTCCCAATCCAGAAATACTACTGTACATCAGATGTTCTACTATACATCAGCAATTCAGCATGATTTGACTTATCACAGAAAAGCAGGTGAATTACTCATCACCATACTATAATGAGAGCAGTCACTCTAAGTAGGAGTATCTCAAAAACATATGGAACAACTGTGGGCACTGTAAATAAAAGTGTATGATCTTTGCAATCTTGAATCCTAGGCTAAAACATCATATTCATATTTAAATAAAAAGTATAGATCATATAAGCCAGGAGCAAATACAAATTTTTTAACAAATATAGTCATTGAAACCATTCTTTTCAGCTCTCTCTTCATTCAGGTAGAAGAACATGCTGACCAGAAAACAGTTATTTAGGTAAGGCTTAAGTCCTGAAGCTCTTACTTAATTTCAACTTCTCTCTTCAAACAATTCTCAAGTAGATTGTAAATAAAAAAAAAAAAATTATTTGTCCTGACTCATGAACAATTATTAGTTGTCATGAGCTGGACTTTAATAAGGAGCTCAGGACAAGACTTGAAAGGCCAGGCAGGCCCTTCTTTTGTGAAACCAATAAATGACTGTCAGTCATGACACTGTCTTTTAAAGAGAGAGCATAGAAACTCCTCATGAGGAAATACGAGTAAAGCTTATAAAAGTCCAAACAAACAATTCTTCCTCTTTAAAATTTCATATATTCACTACTCTTTCTATTTTCTATCAATATTATGTTAAAAAACCCTATATGATAAGACTTGCATCTACAAAAATAATAATAACGGTGAGCATAAAAGAAAAAAATTAGAATTTTAAACCTTAATTTGAAAAGATACGATCTTCTGGGTTTATCAGTACTTTGTAAAGACATTAATATTTTCATACATAATTTATAGAACTCATTCTTTTGTGCACAAAATTGTATTAAATAAATTAACTTAAAGTTAGAAGGACTCAAGCATCTCATTTAAGGCAAAAATACCAAGTTTCTGTGAGATAAATTATCAGCAAACCCCAAGGCCCTGTTTCTGTGCAGAATTGGGACAGTCAGGGCCTTTGCTCATTTCTCCCATCGACGCCTTCCGGGTGCAATGGGGGTGCAACCATCTGCCCCTGCAGATGAAGGTGGAAGAGTGGTGTCCAATTCATGATGCCTTGGATTTTCGGTCTCGTCAAGGAGGGGAAGGGAGTTTCACTGTGGACACACAGTTGCCATGTGCCCAATCGCTTGCTCCTTAACTGAACCTAACGGCACACTGATGCTTAGGTCAGCAAGAGGCTTCACATGAAAGGCAAGAAAGGCACCATAAACAGGAAAAAGGAAAAAATAGCCTAAAAAACTATTATAACTTTTAAATTTTCAATACTTTAAACTTACATATCTGTCTGGATAAACTGCAGACATTCAAATAAGTTAACAGTTAAGTGAATTGAGATGTGGAAAAAATGTATTTATCCTCACAAAATTGCTGTTGTAATCAGGCTTCGGTATGGTCAGATTGCACATAAAGGAAAACAGGAAAGGCTGAATATGGTGAACTATATGGCAAATCAGTGGTGAGGAAATTGTGCTTCAAGGTGTCTTTCAGGATTTAACAACTGAAGTTTGCTCCGGCATAAGCCATGGAACACAGAGTACCATCCATGGACCCCGTATAATGACACAATATATACACTCTACAGTTTGCACGTACTTTCACATAATAAAGTTCTCATGTAACATCCAGGAATACTTCTGTAAAGCAAATGGAAGCATAAGTTACAATGGTTTCATAGTAAACAGATCAGCTCCTTCACAATACAATCTACAGCATTTAGCCACAGTTAAGACTGGAGTGATGTTTTTGATGTACATAGCAAGTTCCCAGCGGGTCTGGGCCTTGAGAAAACACTGCCCTGAGTGAGCTGGCACTGGCACACCCATACATTCGGTATTCCTGCTGCTAGAGGGAAGCTGAGCCCAAGCTGGGTTGTCTACAAGCCTGTGGTGCAGGTGGGGTGACAATCTGGCAGGAGGCAACACACAGAAACCTCATTCAGCTGGGAAGAGTGAAAGCTGGTTTAGGCTCTGCAAGGGTTCTCCCAGTGGCAAAGCCTTGCTGGGGATGTGCAGGCAGGCACTAACACTGCTCCTGCACCTCAGCAGAAGTGAAGTGTAGGCTAGAGTAAGAAAAAATAAAAAGAGGATGCATCAGGCAGGAATGCTCAGTGTGATATAGGCTTTGAATTTGAAAACTTGGGTTTTAGCAGGAAGGAGTCTGTGAGTCCTGTGTTGGAAAGTTCACAAGAAATTACTGTAATTGGGACAATTGAGCTAAGAGTGAGACCATTTTCCCTGTCTCCTCTTCCCCTTTTATTAAAAAAGCAACAAGCCCTTGCCTTTTTTTTTTTTTTGTTAGTTAAGGTGGCTTTCTCTACTTCTATTTTTGTTTCTGATTGCCTGCATGTTTTTTTTTTAATTTTAAATTTTTTTTTTAATGACACTCAGTATCTGTGAGAAAAAAAACCAAAACATGTGACTTTTTCCTTCTTCATCTTTCTTGTTTTATTTTATGGGATGATTTCCCTTCCTGCACGTCTAAATCCATATTATTATTTACTTATTTTCCTATTGATTGTATTGTCTTTCTCCCTTCTGTTGTGTCCTCTTTAGTTTTACTCTGTATTTCAGTTCCTCATTTTCCCTTCTTGCCCAGCCTTATGAAAGTGCTGTTGTAGTACCAGGCTGGGACTGCAAGGAAAATTGCCAAAATTTTCACAAGAAGGAAATATTGCTTTGACAATAAAGGCAGCACCTGCTTCCTTCCCTCACCTACTGCTGCCAAAATGGTTCAGATTCACAAGTCAGCTTCGCAATGAAACTAGAAGGAGAGATTCACTTGAATTTTCAGTGCAGTCCCCCATGTTACTTACTTCTGAGGCCAGACCCAATCTTAAAATACAAACCTTTTGTAACAAAATAGTTCTTGTTATAAAGAACAATGTGATAGTGGTGTGTCAGGTACTTCTGCCACAGCACTAGATCACCAAAAATCACGTATTAACAAACTGTTCTTCAGAGCAAAAAATAACTGATTACTGATGAGTTAATGTGTGTATCTTGCAACTGGCAGCCATTTCTAACCCCATGTTACTCATTTCCTTGGTACCTTGCTAGCAGCTGTAGATAATCTTTTTGTTGTAAACATAAACTATCATCTAAATCAGGACATTATATATATATTTAATCAGTTCAGAAGCAAAGTGCTTTAAACCTTAAGATTTTTACTTCTGCCCCATAGAAACAGCACAAGGTCTAAATGCTCAAATTTTTGTTTTTTGATACATCCTGCAGCATTAGCTTTGTAGGCAACTCATTATTTAAACCTACTGTACTACATGAAAGGCTGCTGTACTGTAGGTATAAATTTGGATGTTAGCCATTGCTTAGACATGCTTTTTCATGCAACTAGGAAATATGGGCTCATTCAACTGCTTTGCAAATTCATCCTGATTTTTGTGATTTTATCTTATTAAAAAGGCTTTCAAAATAGTTCATGCTATGATATGTATGACTAGAGGAATGACCCAGCCAATGAAGAAAGCCAGAAGTTATTTAAGTTTGACATGGAGCAGATTGAGTGCTTCTGTACCATCCCCTGGCTTGCAGATGTTTTGAGATGATCTTGATATTCCAGTCCTTAGAGAGTCAGCAGAGAGAGTTGTTTCCACTAACGGGCGCGAGATGGCTTCAGTAGTCTCTGTCCCTGCCTCTGTCTCCAACTCTTCATCTGTTATAAATAATTTTGACTCCCTCCATTTGGAGTATACATCTTGGCTACCTCTGGAACCACTGGAGTCACTGCCAGTAATCTGTATATTCAGTTCTTCTGTTGACTGTATAAGGTTTTGTACAGATAAAGATTTTCCTAAATCCATTTGCACTACAGGTTTAACGGAGAGCAAATGTTCCCCTTCCGTATCCAGACTTTTTCTCCATGTGAGATCCTTTGTCGCACTGGGCTGTGCGACTTGTCCATTATCCTTTGATGCAACAAGGCAAGCGGTGACATTAGAAATATTTTCCTGTGTGGTTACAGGAATAATATGAATGGGCTCAGGCCTATTGATATGCTTCATCGATGAGAAGGGTGGTATTTGTAATGTTGTCGGAGTTGCTGGCTTAGTTGTCTGGTTTATTTGGTTTGATGCATTATTAACTGTTGCAGGTCCATCATTTGGCACTTGTGTTGCTTGACTATGCATAGCTGGACTAAAAGCATAGTAAGCCTGAGTGCTAAATTCATTTGGTGTCAGTATAAGCTGTAGGCCACGAGGCAGATTGGCACTGGCTGATCTGGATACACATCCACTAAGTTGTGCAGAGTTAGACAAATCTTTGCTGTCTGATGGACTCTGATAATCAGAAGTCTGCTCACACTCGAAAGCTGGCGTTTGAAATGAAGCCAAAGTGAGCGCGGATGCAGATCCTTTTCGCAGAACTTGTTGATAAATATCTAATAGACAGTCCAGTTTTGATTCAATGGATTGTACCTATACGAGAGGAAAAGGTCAACATTAGTGCCAAATACTAATTTAAAATATCTGGAACCCAAGCAAAAGGAAAATGCAACTGCTGAAGAGAAAAATGGAAGTAGCTCAATATATGTTATTGACCCTTGAAAAAGAATGTCAGAAGCCATGTACATTTTTCATAGGCAAGCTGAGAAAAGGGGAGAAGAGGCTAAGGTAATAAGATGCATATAATTTTTACTTCAATGTATAAATGAAGCAGGCACTAGAAAAAAATATAAAATTAACCTGTTCAGCTTTTGAAATTGACAATAAAACACAGAAAAGGCATGAGCAATAAAGGAAGACAGAGTAACACAGATAATCACTCTACCTGTTTCTCCACTTTGACTACCCGCCCTAACATACTGACATCATCAGTGGTCTCATGCTCTGCAGGATTCTTCTCTCTGTTTCTTTTATCTGCTGTGATTTGTCCTTTCCCAAGAATTTGGTCAACGCTGTAAGAGAAACCAAAAGCTGTTGCCATTCATGGAACTGGCATAAATGTGGAAGTGTTTGCTATATATATATATATCTATATCTATATATCTATATATCTATATATATATACACACACACACACACACACACACACACACACACACACACACACACATATATATATATGTTAGAAATAAAAAAGATCACAGTACTTCAGGAAAGCACCCAAAGAAGAAGACAAATTATTTTATTAATTAAGGGAAAAAAAGGAGTGATTTTGGAGCATATTAGACTGCTTTTCTTTTTTGTTGGCACTAACCAGGAGCCAGAATTTAGCCATTATCTGGGAAAGCCAAGGCTAGACTTGCAGAAAGAGGGAAAGAAGAGGTGGCCTCTCCAACGGCTTGATGTTATGCAGAGACAAACATACCAGTGCCACTCCCAGCTCTCCCATCCTAACAACAACATCCACTCCTGGGAGAGTTGTCAGTTTGTATGATGTGTGATGTAATGTTGTTTAGTTTGGCTTTTTAATTACTGTTGCTGGGAATCTCTAACATAAAAACTGCATAAATTGTACATTAGCAGTAGTTCTCAATTTCTTTCTGTGAAAAGAGGAAGTATGGGATGGGAAAGAGGCAGTTCTCAATGTCTTCCTCAGCCTTTTGACAAAAGTCCTTGCTTACAAATGGACTTTACAGATAAAGGATTACCTTTTCTAATCTTCAGACTTCCATTTTCTGAGAAAAATTTGGATACATGTTTTTTGTTTGGTTTTGCCCACAATTCAGTTTCTGGCTCAGCTGTGTTCACAGAAAGAGAGGCTGTGTAACACAGAAATGTTAAATGTTGCCAATATACTTTATGCAGTGAATGACATTAGATGCTTATGCAGAGTGTAACTAATTCTTTCCTTACCGTGACTGAAGACTCTTAATCCTGCATAACATGTCTAGGTGACCTGCTGAATACTGTTCAATGACATCTTTGACATCATATGGGCGAAGCGTTTCCTTAAACTTTCTCTTTGCAACATGAAACTTCATAATTCTGTGGGGGAAAAGCATTTTATACATTAATTTTCAACAATTGTGGAACCATAGGTATATTTCACTGACAAAATTTGATAGCTCATTTTTAAATGGAAAGTATTTTCACTACAGCTTGCACAGGTAAACTTTCACATGGTTTGTTTTTTAAGTACAAATGAACTGTAGCTATGTCTTTGAATTGTTTGAGAGGTCAGGTAACACTTTTAAAGACTGAAGAGCAGGTTTAGTGTATCAGTATATACCTGTTTGACTTTTTTATGCTAGGTGCTTGATATGAAAAGTATGCCTGACTTAAACCTGTGATTAGTTTCACTGACTTGAGTGAGATATCATATCAGCTACATTTGTGCATAAGATACTTCTGCTCTTGTTACAGGAAAGATTTCTTTAGTGAATTGATGACACAAATAACAGTATTCTTGTTCTGGTGTTCATTTCAAGTTCCTTGCTCTCCTCTTTGTGGGAAGAAAATAAAAAAGCACCCCAATAAGTTTTCATCAGTTTTAATATTTTAGTTAACATTCAGGCCTAAATATTTGTTTTCAACTTATTTGGCTGACTTAGGATCAATTTTTGCAGGCTGAAGTTTTCATGTTTGTTCCCTACTGGAATATATAGGAATTATTGCTTAGTTAGCATTCACGATTTTTTCCTTGAACTTTACTGCACAACAGTAAGGTTTCAGGTAACAGTAAATATCCAAAATTGATGAATGGCATACATGTTTTTATCTGAGTCTTGCAGAAGTTTCTGTGATATGTGACATGAACATGTGATGTCTCCTGAGTAGCTCTTCTTAGAATAGAAAGCTTGATATAAAATCGCAAATTTTCAACAATAAAAATGACAAATTTGGAAAGTTAATGACAGTGAGATGATTTTCCTGGTCAGCTGGTAGAACCTGAAATTTTCCTTGGTTTACATAAGGATTGGGAGAGAAAACAAGGGATCACGTGTATTAGCCATGCTGGCCTGTGCTGCAGAGCTTATGAATTCCCGTTAGGGCCAAACTGCTGATATTTGCTACCTATTGCAATTGAAAAAGCAGAGACTGTAAATTGGTATCCTATCCCAAATGTCAGTAGTCATGATATTTCCTCTGGGTTTATTATGATATGTGTTTAGCAGCTGTAAGACAACAAATTATAATAAAACCCAAAACATGGTTCTCACTCTCTGATAAAAATAGATTTTTGATGTTTTATTGGAATTTAGAAAAGTCGTTCTTCATATAGTTAGGACAGATATTATGATAATAGGTATGTAGAGTTGCATTGATAGTATATGGTGATCCTCTACTCATTTTTGGATCGTACATAAATATTCTTAAAGATAAGTCTTTTCTCTCAGTACTTAGATTGTTGGTATTTCCCATTCTGGTGACTTTCACTTAAAAATGAGATTGCTTGTCACTGGTATAGAACTTGAACTATGATTCTCATTATAGAAATTAAAAATGGAAAAGGCCTGTTAGGAGCAGTCCATCAACTTGACACTTCAGGGCTGATCTCCACACACTTTCAAATATATTATATTGGATCATGGGCTTTTCTCTTTTGCCTTACCAGCCAGTTTTACAAACCAATGGCTTTTGGTATCTTTTGTAATCTGGAAGTCTGTAAAGCTGTGATGAATCTGGGATGCAGATTTTTTTTTTTTTGTTTAGCTGTAAAATGATGCCAAGATGTTGGTTTATAGGACCGTGACAACCTAATCTTCTGAATCTAGCTCTTTATTGAGTTACGAAGACTGAATAATGCAGCTGACATATAAAATAGTATAATAGTTTTGTTGTTACTATTATTATGTTTCAGTGGTCACAATGTTTTACTTCATGCATTTAATAAAGTAAAAATATTAAACTCTATTAGAAAAGAAAAGCCAGACGATTATTGGCATAATTGAAGACAACTGAATTTACCACAACTGGGTGATTTTACAAGGGAAGAGGCAGAAGACTAATTATTATTAAGAACCATGGAAGCTTAATCAGTTAGCACAAAAGTCTTCATTACTACTTTGCAGCTTTATAACACTTTTTTTGCTTATCAAGGCAGTCTGTTCATAATGTTCAGAAGTCAAACAGAATTGAAAGCATCACAGCTGTATCTGTACTACACTACAGTGAGCTGTAACTGTACTGTTTCTGGTTTAGGTATTAGCTCATGTGAGTCCATCTTAATTAACTTCAGCAGGGTTTGGAACAGATCCATATTGCTTACTTCTTTTTGTTCAAGCACACAAAATTTTACATGAACTGTACAAAAAATATTGCACTATTAAAAAACTGTCATTTTAAAAGCCTGCAAGTTAATTAAGAAAAAGAAAAACTGAATGCTTTCAGTGATGGAGCCTTGCAACGGCTTTGCAATTATTAAATTTGGTTGAATGTCCATAGTTATTTAGTGTTTTATAAAATCAGTTGGCATCCTGTATCTTGATATCACAATGTAATTAACTTTCTTTACTGTGAGGGTGGTTAGGCTCTGGAACAGATCACGCAGGGAATCTGCAGATTCAGGGCTGGAGCAAGCTGGTCTCAAGACCCAAACAACCTTGGAGCGACCCAGTGGGAGATGTCCCTGCCCACAGCAGGGTGGTCGGAACTAAATGGTTGTTACGGTTCGCTTTAACCCAAACCATCGCATGATTCCTCATGTTTCATAGATCACGGATAGATTATGTACAACTCCGTAGACTCTGAGTTCCTATGGGATAAAAACAAGGTAGTTGCAGGTAACCTATCCGTACAAAAAGGGGAAAAAGCCCCGCGGCGCCGGCAGGGGGCGAGCACGGCCCGGCGCTGCCGCCGCCGCTGAGGGCGAGGCCGCGCAGGCCCCGCGGCGCTGGGAAGCTTCGCCTCCGTGTTTAAATCGCTCTATGCCATCCAGCGAGGTGGCGTTTTATAACCCACATCTAATGTGACAGGCGATACGCGGTTGTAAACACACCCAAGCCACAAGCATGACAGTGTTCTGGTAAGAGTTAGTCATAAAAAGTAGCTTATTTCAGTCATCCATCCAGAGAAGAGCAGGAAAAAAAATCTGTTGAAGCAGACCAATACATAAAAGTTAAATAACAGCTAAACCACAGGTTCCACTAATCTTTATGTACCCTGATGATTTATGGAAAGTTACAGGTCCAGTACCAACTTTTGTCTTACTGACCCATAGTGGCCCAGAGCTGCACCCGTTTCATTTATCTGTCTCAGATGCAGGATCAGCCTTGCTCTAAAATGACAGTGTTTTCTGTACGTGCAGGTTGCATATCTTCCCTGGCATTCACTGCATTGTAATTTGCCTTCATGATGCCTGTTCCAGTATAAAAAGCTGTTTTGCTTGTCATTTAGTGCACTTTCCTGAGGGTGGCACCAAGTTAGAGCATCTCTAATCCTTGGTGCAGCCCTGTCAAACTCATGCCATTATTTTCAAAGCTGTGTCTTTTCAGTTTTGTCACAATTTCAGGAAGAAACAGAGCTTCATTCTACTGGGACTCAGGTAGAATCATATATGGTTACTGCCTTGAATATTAAAAGACAGGTAGGTTGCTTTATCCATAGCCAGATGAGGTGACCACAGGTTGTTTGCTCACCTACAACATCAGGAAAGCAGGTGCATAGAGATTTAGCTGTGCTGGTGCCTCTGTCTCTTTACCCTTACCTTGCCAAATATCCCTTCTTCCTGGTAAAATGCAATGTGCAGAAGAGATCAGGATCCAACACAGAGGCCAGCAGACAAAGGTATTTGAGACACAGTTCTACTACATGTGAGGCAAGTGAATCAAAACTGTCTTCTCACTCGTGTCTCGACCTGACTCATCCCCTAGCAGCCAGAAGCATGATTTCCCCCTAAGTACAGCTCTGTCCTAGCCAAAACACATGTATAAGAGCCTTGCCTAGGCTCTGAATACCATCTGGCAGAAAATAAACAATGTGTTTCCCCTAAGTACAGCGCTGTCCTAGCCAAACACATGTATAAGAGTCTTGCCTGAATACCATCTGGCAGAAAATAAACAATGTGTTTTGATTTAAAAGAAAGAGAGGTTTCTGAAATAATACATTGAACAAATTCAAAATGGCTACTAAAAATACATTTTATAGGTGTTGCAGGAACATTGTAAAGACTGAACATAAATGGTAAATTATATTTTCCATCTTTGTCTGTTAAATATGTATGACTGTTCAACTGTACAGTTTATCAGCTCTAGAATTCTCAAGTTTCATTACATTTAGCCACAGTTATTTTTTTTCTTAGCAATAAATGAAAACATATCTTTGCAATCACTAGAGTTAAAGAGAGAAAAGACCTATTAGGTCAGTACTTTCATCTTCCTGCCATTGCAGTTATTTTCTATTGCATATTTATTTGTGCTTCTCAAATCTCATTTTATATTCCATAAATAGTACAGTAATTCCATCATTTCCATGTGGAAAGTATTATTGAAATGAGTGCTTCTTGCTATGGAAAATGATCAGAGATATTACAATATAGGGAAACAAGGTATCCTAATCTTCCTTTTAGTCTCTTTTATACACATTCATCATTATGAACTAACAGAGCTGGAAAAGGCAATGTTTTTTGTTAGTCTCCAGGATCTCTGCAGGATATTAATGGCTTTTTGTTCATAACAAGACTGGGGATGGTTGAGTAGTGCTGAAGACCCTGCTGGCACACAGACTCAGTCGTTGTTAGCAAGGACTGCTTTGTGCACTGCTCTGATCCCAGCTGGAGGCCGTGGATGAGCAGGACTGATCCTGAGTGGGCCCAAGGTGTGCTGCAGTGCACACCATGTTTCACCACACTGCCCATCTGCTCCCTGTCACCCAACACTGTGCATCGAGCAGTTTTTCAAGTTGATGCATCAAGAATGGATTCAACTGTCTATGTTTATATTTGGGGTCTTTTCTTAATGCGTCATAAAACTATGCAAGTGCCTTCTGTCTCTGCCTGCTTCTATATACCAGCATGAAAGGAAAACCAGCCCTCACCCTCCCCCACTGCCTTTGCAATTCAAAGCTGTTTCTAAAAACAAGCTTCAAAATGAGGCACAAAGTTTCCATATAGGCAGATGTTATCATCTTGAAATTCTACAGTTACTTTATAGAGTCTCAGATCCTTCTTCAGATGTTTGCATAGATCCCAGTGTAGCCTGGTAACAGATACTCTGAATAATCAGAAAGAGGTGTATCAGCTACCTGATGAACTGAATTATCAGTCTCTTGATTTTGAGAGATTAAAGTATAGCATATACAGAAGTCTCAAGATCATGGCATATTACTGCTTTACAGGTGTCAAACAAAGGTAAGTTTCTGAAGCAAGATGTATGTGTCACTTGTGATCTTGCAAAACACTAAAATTTGCAGGGACATGGGAGAGATTCATGGCTAATTGATGGCAAGTGGAAATTCTTACTCTCAGCTTCAGTGGTGACATGAGTTGTTTTTCTAGAAGGCCAGGCATGCAGAGTAAAAGTTGGCGATAATATAAAAATTTGATTTTCATCAGTTAAATAGTAAATGTCTGAAATAATAAAATCTTGCACCTTTGCTCTTCTTATTAGAACATTTCTGTGGAGAAAATTTCCCAACTATATCCTTCACATTTGGTTATTTTCCATTTGGGCTGATAATGACCAAGAGCACCAAACAAAAATGCAGATGATGCATTGAACAATCCAGTGGCCCACTGGAAAATGAGCTCCATGAAGTAAGTATTGAAATGTGAAGTCTTCTTAAGGAATTTGAACAGTATGGAGAGTGATTTTCCCTTGCCAGGACAAGTGGCAACGTGCACCTGGAGCCAGGAGTTATCCAGTCTGTTTAAAATGCAACATCACAGAGAAACATCTTTGGCACCAAAGTCAATGGATTATGCTGACTGTTCTTAATGTGAGCATTTTTTATTTGAGGGAATAGGCTTGCCTTGTGGATGGGTGTGCATTGTGAAAAAAGTATATCTATCATCGGCTTAAACATTGCTAGCAAGAGATGGTTTTCAGCAGACACATTTGGCTTGCCAGGTGCAGTGGCTGTGGACACAGGCCTGGTATCTGAATCGTCCTGTGAGGTCATTTCCAGGCAGGTTGGAAAATGGTAGGAAAAGATGTCTCCAAATGATCTGTCAAGCCCTCTGTGCTACTAGAAAAGTTTCAGAAACAGCCTTACTCACTATCTCTCTTCATTTTACTCAATGGAAAAGGGGAAGGAAATACAAGTAGCCCATAGGTTATCATTGCATGAAATTATGCGATAAAAAGCTCAAGTTCTTTTTTTTCCTATAGTGCTGAGGAAACTCAGGCAGGGGTTTCTGTACAGGAAAACACTGTCTTTCCATAGGTTTTTGCAGAAATTCCTTTTGGCTGCTGCCTGTCTGTCTGCACCAAGAAGGTGCTGGACACTGATGTGATGCAGAGCCAGTGGGGTGACCCCCAGTGATAACCTGAGGTTTGCTGCCAGCAGACAGGGAATGCTTGAGCTCTCCTTGCTTGTTGCTGTACACTTCATGGTGGGGATTTTGACTGTCAGGATTTATACTTCAAAATATTCTGGAAGATAAATAGCCTTGGCAGTCCCAAGAGGATGAGTTTAAACTTTCAATGCAGGTAACTTTATAAATTTCAATGCAGTTTGCTACTTTCTTGGAAAAGGAGACTATTTGTTTTAAATTGTTTGGGTTATATTTAGTTTAGTGGATAGTAGTGGGCAAGACTTTTCACAATTGAATTAATGTAATTATTCTGTTCTTACCAGGAGAAATTTGCAATAAAAGTTATATGACTGTCTCAGGAATATGGAAATGCAATAAAACCCTACACTTTTAAAGGAAATAACTTTTCCAGGCAAAGTGACACATACTCAGTAAAAGTACATCAAATTGTACTTTGGATAGCATAAAATATAATGGAAAACAGCATCCATTACTCTCTTTTCTGTGTCAAATCATGTAACATTTTTAGATATTGAAAAACTGATAACAGAACTGATAAAATGTTTTAATTTAACTAAAATAGAAAGGAAGCATGATATATTAGCATTAGTTGTGTAACAAATATAGCCATGTAATAAGTCCAACTAACTATCATTTTATGAATTGACATGCAGTTTATTGGTATCTGAACTAAAGGAAATTCAAGTGTTTATTCATTCAGTATTTTCTACTCACCTGATAGCTCTAATGACAGTTTTAAGAGCAGGGGTGAGATCTTCTACTGACACATCACACTGGCACCCTTTGTCATCATAAACATCATCTGTTCCAAGACTGGTGTCAGCTGTAAAAGACAAGAGCAGACTACATAAGAGAAATTGAAAAATCTCTTCCTTAGTGTTCTCTAACAGCCTGCACAGTGTTTCTGGGAAAAGAAGGACTACATATCAATCATGACAGACCTCCAGTTTATGAACTATATGATCCACTTGTGTGTGTCTGTACTTGTGTCATAAAATGCCTTGGTAGTCCCAGAGTAATTAGTAAAACTTAGAAAGGAAGAATGCCCTATTATTTTTCAAATTAATTAATAGCTGAGAACCAGAGTGTTTATTCCTGATATCCCATGGTTTTTCATCACATTCTCTGTTTTGTGAGAAAGCAGTGAACTAACAGATGTAATGGCAGAACCAGAAGATGCTGAAGTTACATTATTACAGTTTTACCACTATGGATCAACCTGGCATTTGGACAAGGAGAAGATCCATTTCATTTAATAAGCATGTTGTGGAATGACCCAACACTTTATTACAGGTGAAAATAAACAAAATACTTTTTTACCAAGAATTAATAATTGCCACCTTAAACCTCAGAGCCATGTAGGTATTCCAGGCTTCCTTTGTCACAGGAGCTTAAGCCAAGTTACTGTAAAAAAAAGTGGATCCTTTACTTTTCCTAAACACCACCTCTGCAGAGTTGCCATCTGGGAATTAGCTAGAAATCTCAGAAGTGTCCATTGTACTCAATACATAAAACAGGTACTGATGCATGACTAAGTGGTTTACAAGGTTAAAATGTGCTGGAGTGCAAATGGAGCAAGAAGAGTAGGGTCATGGATGCCCATATATCATCTATATTTCAAAGGCACGTCAACTACAGGAAAATTCTTTGGGGTAGGTGCTTTTCCTCCCAAATCATCTTCCTTCAACTGCATAAAGTCCGAGTGCCCAGAAGAATTTCACTCAAGGTCAGTGTATTTCATCATGTAAGTGTCTCTGCTTCATCAGGAAGAGAATGTAAAATGAGTGACATGAAACAGAGAAAAAAAGACGAGACTCAGTAACCCTCAGTAACAGAGGAGATTTCTTTCCAGTCCTAGGTGGCTGCCTACATTCATGCTGTTATTTAAAACAACAGGTTTAGTCATTCAGAAACACTTCAAGTAAATAATTTCAGGGGTTTAAATTATAAGCAGATTTGAAGCACAGTCAGACACAAATGATTACAGGACATTCTTTCAAATTCTTTCTTCAGGAAGACTGCAGATTAAAGATGAAAAATATTATTTGTCAGTCAAAAGTGCCTGAAAATGTCATGGTACCTTCTAAATCTAATAGGGATAAACAGTGTGGTACAATATCTTCAGGAACTGGTATTACTGCATTGTTTTCTTCACAGATGTAATGTTCAGCCATGCACTTTTTAAAATTTTTTTAAAAATTTTTTAAAATGAATCTGGCTAGTTCATTACCCTTGGGAACATATATTTTTTTTTTGTTATTCTTGCTGAACATTTATGAGAAACATCTGTAGCTTCTAATAACAGGTGAATTCATCTTTGATAGATCAACTTAATAAAGAAAGATGGCTTATAGCCCATGTTTAAGTCCACATAAAACAATCAAATGCAATAATTAAAAATTAAGTTTCAAACTGTAAAAGTGAAATTTTCATACAAAACTTTGAAGTGCTATTACTTTAAGTCATTACTGCAATGATGCCAGGAGTATTTTTTTCTTGCACTCTTTCATGAGCTTCACTCCTGACTTGGCTTATCTTATTGATAAAATATACATCTCTCCACCCATTCTGCTTCAATAACATTTGGATCCCTGCCCAGCAATGTGACTAGCTAAAATAAACTTTATAATTAATTTGATAGGTATATACACTACGTAAACCACCATCTCAGGACATGCTAAGTATTCCACAACACTAACTTTCCAGGTGTCATATCTGATCAGGCTCTCCAGTTACCTCTCCCAGTGTGGAAATCTCCTAGCTCATTTATAAGTGCCATATTAAAACCAGAGCTTTTTATGCTACTGGTATTTCCAGTGACTCTCTAAGGTTTGAATCTATACAGTTTTGCCAGTATAAATTAGGAAAAATACTGCTCAGATCACAAGAGCTATAGCTGTCTAAACCCAGTGAAACAGGAGACTCCAACCTGAAAGTCTAGAATAAACATGTTTCTGTATGGTTGTCTCATGGATACGGTTCCTGGGTCCTTTGCCAAGTACAGTGTCATTAATAAAAGGGGTTTCCTTACCAAAGTATATCTTTGCAAAACTGTTTTGAGAACTGTGTGGTGCAATTACAGTGTTTCATGTTGCTCCCTTGTGGATAAAAAACTCTGCAAAATTTTTAGACAGATGCTGGAAAATTCTTATAAATTTAAGCCAGCTTTAATAGGAGATGCTGCTCCTAATAAATCACCTTTCTTCTTTCGAATATTCCACTGATATGAATTTCCTTCATTATGGCAGACACTCAATACCACAGGTCAATGAAGCTTGTGAAAAGTTATAGCCTTGTTTGATTCCTATGGGAAACATAAATGTTTCTTTAGGATACTGAGCAGACCTGGGAAAAAAGTTTAGGAAATGCATAGTAGCAATTTGGAGAAGAAAAATCCAGCTTAAAACACCACTGAAATCAAAGTTCACATTCTTACGAATTTTTCCAGTGGAAGCTCATGTTGTGTACCACATAGTTACGAGGTGAGATGTACTTGTGTACTTGTGAGATCCTTTCTGTCCCTCTCGAGTTCGTTGTTGAGGTCAGGGCTGAGTTGGGGTCAGTTTGGCTGCTTTAGCAGCTCCAGCTGTTCAAACCTCTGCCAGCTCCCAGATGGGGCTAAGCTATGCTCTCCAAGCTGCTGTCTGCCCCCAGAGCCCTTCCTAGGCATTAATGGGGCAGCTAGACCTCCCAGTGCCAGCTCATGCCTGTCCCTGCTCACATCCACATCATTCCCTATACCCTTGTCTGTATCTTCTGCTCTCCATTGGGATGGCTGCACATGGTCCAAGTGGGCTCCACAAGGAACTGCAGGAGCAGCTGCTCTGCATGAACCTGGCTTTACTGCCAGGCTTTCCTAGGGTTAGCGCCCATGTCTCCTTCTCTCCAGCAACCTCTACCACAAGCTAACCAGCTTTCAAGTCTGTTCCATGGGCAGCTAAAGAATATGGCCTAAAAAATGCCTAAAATGTCTTTTAGTACACATGTAGACAAACCCCTGTATGTCTCTTTAAGAAGGGCTGTCAGTCCACTTGACAATCCAGACCTTTTTCTAATACCAGCATATTTAGAATTCAGTATGTGTTTTGATCTTAAACAAAGAACGTGTTTATTTCACAACTGATGAGGCATCCGCCATTGTCTTATAATCTTTGACATTACTTACTTTGGGCTACTGTCTGGTCTTTGCTGCTTTTTAATTTCTTCCTCTTTCTTCCTGAACAGTCTTTGATTTAATTACACAGCAAAGCAGCAATTACCAAGAAATAGAAGAGGCATGCACAAGCCAGTAACATTGTATTGATATTTCCCTGTTTTTCACAGTATTTATGCATTTTTCATGCAAATTTTAGTCATCTATGATAACCACAAACAAATGGGCAAAAAAATTAGGCTGTTCTAAATCATTATATGTCACCAACAAAAAAACTACAAGTTTGTAGCTGCATTTCATATGACTCTGTGCAAAAGTTATTCACAAGGTTTGATTTATTATTTCTGTAAATAGTATGTGTCTTTTCTTAGAAGTGTTTTCTGTTGTTTAATAACATGCTTTGGCATTGAAAAAACTGACATTGCTCTAATCACTCTCATGGCTCCTTGCTTTTCGTGTCAGTAACATTCAAGTAATTATCTGCCTGTTAAACAGAATAAAAAAGCTTTTTTTACTTTTTGTTATCTGGGAACATTAATATGCTAGCAACAACAATCCAGCATTAATAAATGTGTGTGCTAACATAATGAATAATCCTGTGGAGGTGCTTCTGACATAGTGACTGGTACGGTGATCCCAACATAGACCTTTTGACTAATTTTTTGGAAGCCTTCAGAAGCACTTAGATCTTATTGTGACTGTGCAAGAGGTAGATAGGGTTCTTCATGTGGGTGATAGAAATAATTTTGCTGTGGCTGACAACCCACTTTCTTGCAGAAACCACCTCTGTGCCCTCCCCACTACCAAGAACCAGGCCATGCAAAACCAATACAACATGGAAAAATCTCAATAGATGCCTGAAGTTGATATCCTGCATATGACTTGCACTTATTCTTGCTACAGCACAGTATTGTGTTGACTTGGTTAAAAACACACTGGTTTGGAAAAAATATCTGATTGATTTTCATTTAAATGTATTATGCAAGGTGAAAATTGGAGGGTGGCCTAATTTTCACAGGTGCTGAGTTACTTTGAGCCATATTGTTATCAAAATTGACAATTTGAGTTAGGAATTGAAGTCCAAACAATTCATAATGCTGCTCCACAGCCTGTTCTCCACCTTGCTTAGCAGCCTCATGTGAGTGCAGAGTTTCTCTGTCTGCCCAGGGCAGCAGTGCAGGGCACCCCAATGTGACACACTCATCTCGACACTCATTTTCTGTGTGAGCAGTCAGAAAGAAGATGAGTGGGTAATTCAGTGCATCTAACTTCAGAGTTCATCTGGCTACTGAGCTCAGATGAACCCTCTCACTCAAGAAGCAATGCCAGCAGCTTAATACTCTCATTTAGACAAGTAAAGTTGGACATGAATTCAAAGCTTTTTGGGGGACAGACTGTCCCTGTGGGAGGTGCCAGTGCATAGGTCTGCTGCAGCAGCGGGGTCCAAGCAGCTGCTTTGTTATGAGACTCTAAACTCCCTGAGTCTTACATGGCTACTGAGCTCAGATGAACCCTCTCACTCAAGAAGCAATGCCAGCAGCTTAATACTCTCATTGCCTCCTTTGTGAGCAAATAGCCTCTGCTGTGCTGCTCTATATTATGCCTAGGGTGTCTGCAAGGTAGGTGTGTATTTCACTCAATTTACCTGCCTTTGAAGTACCTTTCTTCAC